AGGACGACAAATGAGCCTTGAGTGAAAAAGAAGAGTTTTATGAATTATTCGCCCATCTGTTCCACCCCTTGCTGAACTGTTGTCTTCCACATTCTTCTTTTGCTTACAGTGTTGCACTACCTCTCACTTTCTTACTTATCAGTTCATTACTTGATGCCATTCAGTATGAACTTGCGCCTTAAGAACACAAAAAGAAAGCTCCTTCACAATCAGTTGCGAGGACAATCGGACACTTTAAATAGAAAGTAATTGACTGTTATGTCTTTGTTGGCACTTGTGGTCAAGGGCACTAAAAGTTTTATTTTTAACTATACAACCTAACAATACTCATATTGGTTGATAAACTGAAAACCACATAAAAACCACCACAAGGCCCTCGGTACACTGTTTAAAATCATGTTTCTTATCAGTATTTTGCAATGTTTTCCAGGAAAAATATATTCAAAAATATATATATATATGTTGACAGCTTGTCAATTATTTTGTCCCCTTTAAAAAAAAAAAAAGCGTAAATATTTCTTTCAGAAAATACACACTACCATTCAAAGGTTTGGGTTCTGTAAGATATTTTAATGTTTTTGAAACATTATGCTCAGAAGGACTGCAGTTATCAAAAAAATGCATTACACAAATTAATATTGTGAAATGTTATTAAAATATAAAATAACTATTTTCTATTTTAATATATTTTAAAATGTATTTTATTCCTGTGATACAGTCTTCAGTGTCACATGATCCTTCAGAAATCATTCTAATATGCTGATTCGCTGCTCAAGAAACATTTATTATTATTATCAGTGTTGAAAACATTTGTGCTGCTTAATATTTTGAGGAAACCGCGACACATTTTTCAGGATTCTTTGATGAATCAAAAGTTCAAAAGAGCAGCATTTATTTGAAATAGAAATCTTTTGAAACATTCTAAATCTCTTTACTGTAACTGGTTTGATCAATTAAATGTGTCTTTGCTGAACAAGTATTAATTTCTTTAGCTATTAAAAAAACTATTTGGCAATGGTGTAAGAAAAATAAATAATATTTTCTCAAGATATACAAAAAAAATGCTATTTTGTTTTGAGTCAATCCATTTTGTGTTATGGATGTTATTTTTACTGGAAAACAAAATTATTATACAAAAATAAGACATTTAGAAAAAATAATTGCACTGTATGCTAAATGTATGGCTGTATAATATACAGTATTTACAGTAAGTTATTCAGAGACAAACAGTAAAGTTTTTGTATTTTGCGAGTATCAAACATACACAAGGCCACAGTAGTTCACTGCTTACCTATGACTAAGACTTGTGACGTTCCATCTTCTCACCTGTGATAATCATTTCACATACAAAAGCACATCTGTGCTACTGTGAGCCCATTTCCCCTCACCCATCCTAGTCCTGTCCACACCCCGCAAATGATGTAGCATTAAGAGACACTGTAATATATGAGCATTGTGAAGTAAGTCTTGCAGTAAATGTGATCTACAATTGCTGGCTGAAGTGAAAGCGAGAGGTGTGTGTGTGTGTGTGCGTGTGTGTGTGTGTGTGTGTGTGTGTGTGTGTGTGTGTGTGTGTGTGTGTGTGTGTGTGTGTGTGTGTGTGTGTGTGTGTGTGTGTGTGTGTGTGTGTGTGAGAAAGAGAGAGTGACATTTACATTACGGATGGAACCGGTTAGTGCTGCTGAAGTAAATAAAATTGTGTTTGTGTGTGTGAATGGATTCATCTGTAAAGAAATATGTAAAAAGAGAGTGTGGTCATGTATATTTGAATCTGTTTGATTGTACAGTTGTTCACCACTGTTCCACTACTGTCCAATTTTGTAAAATATATATGATTTTGTTTAAAGATGACTACTGAATTTGTTTGTATTATCTTCAAGCTCAAAAAAGTCTTTTCTCATTACGCGGCTGAAATGTCCCTCTTGTTCCCCATAAACAGCACAGAGTCAGTCAGCAAAATGACAGCTATCAGACACCAATCAGTGTGTGTCAGCTTTACCTGGAGGTGGATGAGATACTAAGAATGAGATCAGAGTATGATCTGATAGGGGTAATGGACACAAAATTCACACATACACAAGTTAACTACTTTAACTGAAAGTAGGTTGGTTAAACATGCATAAGAAATTAAAACTTATTCAGCAAGGATGCGTTGAGTCTCAATTACCTTTTGTATGTTTTTTATTCCGTGGCGGAAATATGCTTCCATATTAAATTAAAAGTGACAGTAAAGAATTTAACATTATTACACAAAAATTCAAATAAATACGGCTCTTTGAAACTTTCTATTCATCAAAGAATTCTGGAAAAAAGCATTACATTTCCACAAAAATATTAAGCAGCACAACTGAAAACTTAGGGGAGAAAAAAAAAGTCCTTCATTTTTTTAAATAGTCCTTATTATAGTACGTACTTTATTATGCATCAACCATTTCTATGTTGCGAAACAAAAACATGCACCCACTTGTTTTTGTTGCTAAACAACACCTACACTGTAAATTATTGCTGATTATTCGAAATATCGCACATACTGTAGCATATAGGTTTGTGAAAAGCATCCTGCAAAGACTTAAGTGCAAAAATAACCAAAACTCTAGATTCATGCTACGCTTTGACCTTATTGAACTTAGCTGAAACTATTCATTAAATCAATGCAACAAAATAAGTTGTTTGCAAACATTTGTGGTAGGCAGGATGAAATCACAATAATTTGCACACAGAAATCTTACAACATCTTAACATAAAAAAACAACAGTTGTAACTCCCAAAAGAAGTCAAAGTAAAACACATGCCTTGGTTATCAGGCTGTTCTGAACCTCCAAAATAACATCTAGCAAATATGTGCTTTTTAATGCAAAACAACACATGACTAAGATAACTGGAAGAAGAAAAAAATAACATCCATTACTTCACAACGTGCGGTCCAACTAACATTCTATAGATAGTATCCCATAATGCGTTTTTGAGCCCTTTACACAAGCCATTTAAAACACTATTGACCAACCATTATGACTCATGTACCTGACCATCAAACATTTGTCTTTTACACTATCAAAACTCACCTGAAACTTATTTAAATTAATCAATAGCATTTAGCCAAATGTAAAACCTTTTGCAAATGTATACATTCAAAGTTGATGTACAAAATATATCAGGTTTCATTTATGTCCCCACTGACACTGTTCTCGTGGTTAACCAAAACACTTATTTCTTCTTTGTGATGTAAACATACAATTAGGCCTTGTTTTTTCTTTTTACGTCTAGTGTTTGACCACTATGTATTATGCCTTAAATGACCCTTTATTACACATCCACTCTCTGATGTTGTTTTTGCCTATAATGTCCTCTTAATCCCAAATTTTATCTGAATGCTAAAAACGTTTAAAAAATGTTAGTAAAAGTGTGCTTTATGGACACAATTGTAAGCAGTAGGAAACTACATAATCATACATTAGTAATCTATTGCTGGTGCCCTGAGGGGGACAAACTGGAATTAAACTGGTCACGTGACTATTTACTTACATCATGTAAAAATGTTCACCTGAACTCAAGACCATTTATTAAAATAAATAATAATAAAAAGACCATTTATTTTATGTGGACAACTTTTTGCAAAATGCATCAAGAAATCTTTTTAGATTAACTCGAAAGTAATTTTTGGTCATATGTTACCGGTGAAATTATATAGCCTACCGAAAAACAAACGAAATATGTGAACTCGATGGTTAAAACAGTAGCCTACACCATATTTTACGTTAAACTAGACATGTGTTTCGCTCGTTCTGACAGCTTGACGGACTTTTTTTGGTAGTTACCACATGAAAACGTCTGCTTTGGAACGAAAGCCTACGTGCAAAACATTAGGCGACCTTTAGTGCGCCAAAACATAAGTGGTCTGTCCTGTTACGTTGAAAGACGTGAAAACAATTACGAAAACCGGTTTATGCCTTGACCTGGTGGGGTGGTATCTGTCTGACCAGTCCTTCACCACATTACTGAGAGAAGAAATCTTGTAGCCTATCTGTCACTGGCCAACAACAAGGAAGACTCTTTGGTTTTATGTGGATTTATGCCTGATCCAGTGTTCAGTGGAGGAGAACAAACGCTCATTGATCGCACAGTGATCGGACGTTGGGCCCTGCACCTCAAAACCTACTGCGTTTCCATTAAGGTGAATGTTCCGGCCACTGAAGGTTGTTTTGAATCATCTGGAACATCCTGGTATACCTCAGCTGGTTTGGAACAGGTTTGCTGTACATTTATCCGACTCAGTGTTTTTAAAAGTGTTGACTGATATGGTTTTGTTTCAGGTAGCTTACTCAGTTAAAGATGATGGGTGAGGACCGGAAAATATGGACCACGGACCAATCTCGAAACTCCATAGAGGTACATAGTGAAAGCCCCTTTAAGTTTATCTTTAAACCCAATCAGTAGACTTAATAAAGTCCTAAGAACGTAATGTTGAATATTAAAGGATTTGTTTAAAGCTAGTATTTAGAGGGATCTTCACCCAAACATGAAAATTCCATCATCATTTACTCACCCTCAAGTTGTCCCAAACCTGTATGACTTTAGTTCTTCTGCTGAACACAAAAGAAGATATTTTGAATCTTATTTTGTAATCAAACCGTTGATTGACCCTATTGTCTATCGTTGTATGGGAAAAAATACCCCAAGTCAATGGGGTCCATCAACTGGTTACCGACATTCTTCAAAATATCTCAATTTGTGTTCAGCAGAAGAAATAAAGTTATGTGAGTAAATGATGATCATTTTTGGGTGAACTATCCCTTTAAGTTGTTAACATAACATTTATATTAACTAAAAGCACAAGTATTTAACATAACTGTCCCAGTCTGTCCTGAACTATTGGGTCACTCACTGGGCTCCTAAACCTCAGAGTCCTCTTCTATTGTCCACCTGTGTGAGTTACGTCCTCCTCCCTCCTTTCTTGGCTCAGCTAAAAGTATAAATACTGATGTCAGACTGCTTATTTTTCTATTGTCCACTGACATTCAAACAAACATGCTATACAGCAATTACCAAAAATAACATTGGAATAACGTATTTAGGATTTTTGTAAGGTAGGTGACTATTGCTTTGAATGCAGGCATCTTGTAGCAAGTGCATAAATAACTGATTGTAATGTTATGAAAGTGGATAGTCTGGTAAGTGGTTGTTTTTCTGCATTTTTTATTAAATTTGGCAGAAGAATTGTAAAATAATGTTAACATAAAAATGTGCTTTGTTAATTTTGTTCTTTTCAAAAATATTATTATTATTAGTTGTAGTAGTAGTAGTAATTATTATTTAATTAATATATTAATATATTTTCTTGAATATATATATATATATACACACAAAAGTAATTTAAGTGTTAGATTACATTGTACAAAAACAGTTAATCAAAGTTTGCGTGATAATAATTTTTAAAAGAATCGTTACATTTAAAGGATCTTTTAAATTATGATGATAAAGTATACTGATTATAACTAATATTGAATGAGCCGATGAGCAGGGAAACCGCTTCACCTGCATGTTCATTTAAATATGCAGAAATTCCTAATGCATTTTTGAAAATCACCTTTTTCTGTGGTTTACTTTTTTGGTAATGTGGATTTTTTTTCCCTGTCAGTCTTTTTGGTCTGACACTCCTCCAGAAACCATGACACCAGCCATCTCCAGAACTGCTGCAGGAGAGATCAATCACTGGTGGAGCCAGCTGAAGTTCCGCCTTCAGCATAGAAAAGGATGGAATGAAATGTTGGATGAGACCTTCCTCTTGCAGAACAAAAAGTGAATAACTAACTATTATCAATATAATAAATTAGGCACTACATTTGCATTTTGATTCTATAAATATATGTAATGTCTGTAATAATTTAACAGTGTAAATCAAAAGGAGATTTAAGTTTAATCTTAAATCTCTTAAAAAAAATTCTAAATTAATTATTTACTAAATGTTTTAATGAAGTCTGGATTAATTACAGAAATTAAGTAAATTAATGAAGGAAAATAATTGTAAAAGAATATCAACACAGTTCTGCTGCCTTGCAAGCACTAATAACGGGAAGAGATGTCCTGATCTCAGCTCCCACCTACGGTTGTAGTCATTTCTCTTTCTGTTCTGCAGAGTAAATGACATCCCCCTGTTTTCCGCCACTAAGGAGAATAATGCAGCCTGCATAAAGAAACTGCTTGACTGTTCATCTACAAATATCTTTGAGAGAGGTAAACCACAGTTTTTGCCATTCTTTTACATTATAACCGGCGCATTGAATGACAAATACATCTGACACTGTGTGTGCGTTCCAGGTGAGCTTGGAGAGACGGCTCTGCATGTTGCTGTGATGAATGATAATTTTCAAGCGGCTGTGGCATTAATGGATGGAGCACCTGAGCTCATCAACGAGCCTATGACCTCTGAACTCTACCAAGGTCGTTGTTTTAAAAAATCGAAATGTTCCTCAAACATTCAAAAACACAATTTTATAACTATTTGTGCAGCTAGAAGATCTCATGGATGTATGCTGTGATTGACAGGTTTAACAGCCCTTCACATTGCTGCAGTTAACCAGAATGTTAACATTGTCCAGGAGTTGATTACAAGAGGGGGTGATGTGGCAACACCCAGGGTCACGGGCATGTACTTCCGCAAAAGAAGAGGAGGACTTCTGTACTTTGGTGAGATGGATGTTTCTGTTCTATTAATCGTTTTTAGGAATTATTTTTGCTTCATCCAAAAATTAAAACTCTCTCATCATTTACTGATGTATATGACTTTCTTTCTTCAGATAAACACTAATGACATTTTTTTGAAAGATTGCCACTCCTTTGATGCTTGAAAAACCACACAGTAATCGTGACGTTAATCCCAGTAGGTGAATGTTGAAGTGATAGATGTAAAGTTGTGTGTAAGAAAAATACTAAGTCATTGTTTCCAGGCTACTGTCATACGAGACTTCATGATGTAAGTGTGTTGCGAAGCTCACGCGAGAAGTGGCATCCTCTGTTCTTCCGGGCTAATTTAACACACTTACTTATATTTATGTCAAGCTGAACTTGTGAGCGCGCCTAGGACAGTTCGCCGGAAGCGTTGGTTTATAGTTAAAAGATTTGAAAATATTAGTACTTTTCTGACACACACCTATCGTTTCACTTAACTATGAAATTTGATTTCTATTTTTGATTTGAATCAATAATATAAATCAAATCAAGATCACTTCAGAAGACATTGATTCATCCACTGGGATCGTTGTGTCTGGTTTTTTAAGCATCAACCTATCAGCACCCATTCACATATGGACTCACAGAAATCTTTGTTTGTGTTTGTCTGAAGAAAGAAAGTCATAAACATCGAGAATGGCATGAGGGTGTGTAAATGAGTACATTTTTATTTTTGGATGAACTATACTTTTAATTATAAATATTTTAAGTTGAAATGTGGATAACCATCAAGAGAGATGACTATTACTATTTCCCATGACTGTTACATACATACTTACATAGAAACATTAATAAATAAATTGTGTAAATGTAGGTGAACACATCCTGGCATTTGCAAGCTGTGTGGGTAATGAAGAAATTATGTCCATGTTGATAAAAGCTGGGGCTAATATTCGGGCCCAGGATTCCCTTGGTAAGAGAAAATAACTTACTGGCCTAATTAAATATGTTACTCCCAATTTGACATGTATATCTGCATATGTGTGTGTAACTTTCTTTCTCTCATGAACAGGTAATACCATCCTGCATCTGTTGGTTTTGCAGCCCAATAAAACCACTGCATGTCAGATTTTTGACATTCTGATGTCACACGATGCAGATCTGGACCCCCCAATCCCACTAGACATGATTCCCAACTACAGAGGCCTCACACCATTCAAACTCGCTGCCAAGGAGGGCAACCTTGTGGTGAGAAAGAGATCTTTTCATGCATCTCTTCCTTTTCTGTCACAGGATTGCAAAGTAACATTTTGCAGCTTTTAAAGAGCATGGGCTAATGTTTTTGTGATGCTGCACAGGCTTTCCAGCACTTGGTTAACCGCAGACGCATTATTCAGTGGAGTTTGGGACCATTGACCTCCAACCTTTATGACCTTACTGAGATTGACTCCAGGGTGGATGACCTCTCAGTGCTTGAGGTTATTGTCAGCAGTCCGAAAAGAGAGGTGTGTAAATGTGTGCAGGACACACTACAGCATATCAAACAGGCCTTGACAAAGAAGAACAGGAAAAACTCAACTTAAACATTAATAATAATAAATAACAGACAAAGCCAAAGTGCTTTAGCTGGGGTGTTGTTAGTTCATCTCTTAACTAAGTGCTTTGTGCATCGTCTCTGTCTCAGGCCAGAAGGATTCTTGAGTTGACTCCAGTGCGGCAGCTCGTAAGGCTGAAGTGGAATCTGTATGGGAAACATTACTTCAGGTGCCACACTATCACATACTATAAAAACACAGCATTTAGAAAGTTTAATTAATAAACTATAAATAATTACAGCTGTTTCAGGGTACGTTTACACGACAATGATGTAATTGAAAAAAAAAAAAGCTGTATTGTGCTGTCAGGCCAGTAGTTGGCGATGTCACTTTATAAAGAAACACCATACACCTATTGTTTTCACAAATACAAGTTTTTGTAGTTTACACAGAGAAGATAACGGTATCTTCAATCAATTAATTACATTTTGTGATGCAATTATTATATTATATTATGCATTTGTTTATGCATAATTGTACATTTGTTTTTATCCAGATCTACTAGCATTGTAGTCAAGATACAAATTTTAATCGGTTCATGCATTCCCTGGGAATTGGTGCGTGCTTTACTGTTTGAGCTACAAATTATAGTATATTATATTAAATCAAATGTAAAATCATGAAAACATAATTATGATATAATTATGTCCAAAATGTAGTGTAATGTGACATGTGGAGGTTTAAAGGAACATTGTTATGTTGTCATGTAGTAGTCGTACCTGAATTGTTTTTCTGCTGACTGTTAAAACAGCTTCAAGCGTTTCCACATATTCAGCATGATTTTATCAGAAAACATTTCACTTTAATAGCAGTAGTGTGCTATGAATCCTTACACAATATAGGAAATTATGTTTAGAATTTCAGTCAAACTAATGATGTTGCTCTATTAATCTGTTTACAGGTTATTAATGCTGGTGTACCTGCTGTATATTAGCATATTCACTTTGTGTTGTATATACCGCCCCCTGAAGGACATTCCTGAGAATTACACCAAAGCAGACAACGACAACACCATAAAAATACAAAAAAGCTTCACGGTGTGAAACATTATTATTTTTATATTTCTGTATGTCAAAGCACTTTTATATATGTTTGCAAGTACCTAATTTCTCTCTGTGTGTGTGTGTTTAGGAGAGCTATCAGTCCTATAAAGATCACCTGCGTTTAATTGGAGAAATTATCAGTCTCATAGGAGCCATCGTTATTCTGCTGATAGAGGTCAGCTAAATTTCCCCACACAACTCAGTCTGACTTTAAAAACATTATGCTATGAAATGTAAAGTATTATTGGTATTATGCCAAAATACTCATACCTTATGTTGAATCATTTTCAGATTCCCAGTATTTTGAAAGTGGGGGCTAAACGCTACTTTGGCCAGTCTGCACTTGGAGGCCCCTTCCATGTCACTTTGTGAGTTTATCTTGTTGTAAAGTCTATTATCACAGGGATTTTCAAATGGGGTCCAAGAACCCAAAATATATCACAATATACTGTATATATACATACATTTGTTTTGTTTTTTTATGTAATTTAAATGGCAAAGCTGAATTTTCAGCATCATTACTCCAGTCTTCAGTGTCACATGATCCTTCAGAAATCATTCTAATATGCTGATTTGGTGCTCAAGAAACATTTCTTATTATTATCAATAATAATAAACATATTGGGGATAATCATATTGGAGGGTTTGGCATCAAAATATTTGAAAACCCCTGCATTTTTGTTGAATGAAATCAGTTTGACTCGCATCCATTCTCTTACACTGAATTTCCTTGTATTTCTGCGGCAGGGGAAGCTACGCGTGTCTGGTTGTGATTTTGTGTGTGATGCGCACCACTGGAATGACAGGAGAGCTTGTGCCGATGGCTTGGGCTCTGGTTCTCGGCTGGTCCAATGTTATGTACTTCGCCCGAGGTTTTGAGATGCTGGGACCCTATGTGATTGTGATTCAGAAGGTGGAGCATTTTGCTGAGGCAGCCTCTCACTGTTGTTGGTTTGTAGAACCAGCATAGCTTAATAATGTATTTGTGTGGATTTTGTTTTGCAGACAATATTTGGAGATTTGACAAAGTTCATGTGGTTGTCTCTCATCTTCCTCATTGGATCCTCAACCGGTTAGTTCAAATACAGTTGCATCTTAATGCGCAGTGCTGGGTAAATTGCTTACAAATTGTAGTCTGTTACTGATTTCAAATTACATGACGATACAATACAATCAGACTACTTTTAGATTACTTTTGAATAGGATAAACTTGTACCAATTTGATATAAAAATACAAAGAGAAAGAAAATATGCCATTATCATCAACAACATTAAACATTACATTACATAATGGTTTTCTGGGGTTTGTGAAGGAACTACAAGTTGATAAACCTATTAATTAATTTATAAAAATGTAAAATTATAAAACTTTCCAAAGGTATACTGCAGTAAGTTTTTTTTAGAATTACATTTTTTATAAAAAATAAATTATGAACAATTTACTGCATTTTGTGAATCATAAAAAAGTAACTGTAATCTGATTATTTAATCTGATAATTGTTATTTTAAAACATAATAGACCTTAGTCAGGGTAGCCATATTAAATTTTTGACAGGAATGAATATGTGGCTGTGAGGGAGAGAAGTACGTTGTGTGATCTAGGTCCTTTATCCCTCACAGCCTTGTTTTCATCCGCATTGAATATGGCGTCTATCCTGACCAAGGTCTATAATCTAATTACAAGTATTTAATTTTTGGAATCTGATTACGTAATACAAATTACAAATGATCAGTTACTACCCAGCACTATTGTGAGTTTGTAATGTAAATAATGACTTCCTTGTCTCCTTCCTCAGGCTTGTGGGTTTTCTACATGACTCAAGACTCTTTAGCTTTACCGCCATACCGCTCGTTCCCCATCACCGTCTTCTCTCAGTTTGAGCTGAGCATCGGCCTGATAGACTTGCCAGTGGACCACACTCTCTACACACATCCAGTTGTGCACTCTGTTCACATCTGCTTCAGCGTGGTCTCTTACATCCTCCTGTTTAACCTCCTGATCGCCATGATGAGCGACACACAGTGGAGGGTCACCCAGGAACGTGACGAACTCTGGAGGACACAGGTTGCTATTGTAGCTAGACTAGTTCAGGCCCACATTTATTGTTCTGGAAGCATGTTGGGTGAACATGGGTTTCTCTCTTCACAGGTGGTGGCCACTACTCTGATGCTGGAACGGAGGCTATCACTGCGCTTGTGGCCAAGACTGGGTGTCTGTGGCCTGGCCTTTGGCCTTGGAGAATGCTGGTACCTCCGGTAAGGACACCCAGAATCACAAATTCAATACAAAAGCATCACGAAACACTCTAATTTTTCTCTTATTCTTTCATAATATCTCATGATTCCAGAGTGGAGGATCGCAATGATCTATTGGTGCAAAAGATGAGACGCTATGTTAACGCATTCTCTAAGGATGGAGAATCAGCCAAGGAGAAGGAGGAAACAGGCAAGAGTGACACTGGATATGATCCAGTACAAAGCCATTTTACTGAGAGCAACATGGCTAAAACCAAAAGGAGGCCAAGGCAATGCTGGCAGCTCATTCGCCAGAGTATAGAATGTGAAAAGGAAGAAAATGTGGATTCCCCTGATTTCAAGTAAATCTAAAAATGGCACAAGATCAAGTAGTAATGTTTAGGTGAAATGACATTCCTAATATTTAAATGGTTCCCGTTACATTATTCTGTATTATTCTACTGTTTAATAATATGCAAACATATAGGTGTGCACCATCAATATTGTTACATATAAAGGTGGAAGTTTAATTAAGAAATACAAAAAGAGACATTTCAAAAAGAATGCATGCGCAATTCAATACATTATCATGTAAATATTAGCCATATTTAGTGCAAATAAACAAGCTTTGTGTAAATGATCAGTACAGTTAGAAATGAGTGCAGTTGTAATACAAATAAAACTGTTCTAAAAATGTATTTTTAGCATCTATATGCCCCTATTTCTGATTTTTAGAGAAAAGATGATTAGATTAAGTGTTGAGTTATGATATCCAGATGTATAGTTGGTTTTGATTGGTGTAGTTGATCTTCTGACATCTAGACCTTCTGACAGATGTACTGTAAATATAACTTGCAGTGAGATGGGCGCCAGCTCCGTTCAGGTGGTTCATTTGCAGCCAGAATGGCACAATCTCCAGGAGAGGAATCATCTTCCCAATATCTGTGTGCATACAGAAGAAGCATAGTCAGTCATTAGCTACTAAATCACATTTAAACAAATATATTCATTTTACAATACTTGTATGTTTGTGTAACCATATGATGAATTATTTATGGAGGCTTGAAGGACAAGGTGTAAAAAGTGCCTCCTTGAGTTTATTTCCTATTTTTAATTTATATTTTTCTGCTGCAACAACAAAAAAATAGGCAATACATCCCTGAATTACATTTTTTAAATTCATATTATTATTACTGTCCACTTAAAACTTAAATAATGTTGTAAATAAACTTAAACATTTTGGTAACACTACAATAAGGTCTTATTTGTTAACATTAGTTAATCAATTAACTAACATGAAATAACTATTAACAAATATTTTTATAGCATTTATTAACCTTTGTTAATGTTAGTTAATAAAAACATTCATGTTCTTGTTAGTTCACAGTGCATTAACTAATGTTAACAGATACAATGTGTATTACAAATGTATTAGTAAATGCTGAATTAACTAATATAAATATATGCTGTAGTAGTATTGATCATTGTTAGTTTGTGTTAACTAATGAAGTTAATTAATGTTGAAACTTGAAACCTTAAAGAAACCTTATTGTAAAGTGTTAAAAAAAAAAGTCCACCTTTTCAAAAATCAATGATCGCCCCCTCCAGGCCAAAGTTGACACTGCATGCTATTTTTTATGTTACCATTGCAGGGCACCTCCAGTGTGTAGGGAAAAGCAATTCAGAATGACACAAAATGGATAGAATTTTTTGTTCTTTTTTTTTTTTTGAAAATTTTAAAAATCATTGGAAATTTTTTGCCAGCAAAAAAAAAAACATCCTTTAGGTAACCAACTCAGGTAGTCAAAAACAAACAAACAAGCATTGTTTTCACATTGCCCTTCGATGTGTTTTCAGTCACATTCTTTCCCACCTCACTGTCAATACAGTGTTGTTAATCCATGTCCATTCATTTGTCCCCACATGAGTTAGCCCAATCCAGTAGTGCAAATTCCCTTTCCCGCTCAGATACATCTGCAGAGATGAGATATTGTCGAAAGGCATAAAAATACATTTAAATGAGATTCACTCCTGTTAGTTTTAATTTGACCATATTTACAGAATTACTGACCTGCACACGTGGATTAGTAATGACGGCAAGATCTCCTCCCTTCCTCTGGCATTCCTCCCTGCTCTGCTGCCAGGTCAGACGGGTTTGAGACAGGAAGTAACAAGTATTCTCGAACCTCAACCAGCCCTTGGCACAATTACTGCACAGATGCTCTGCACACATACATATAAGTGGGGAAACAAGAAAATTCTGAAGTGACGTAAAAATAAGAAAAAAATTAAACGGACATAACACTTTTAGACAACTGTATGTCTGTTGTTCACAAACTCACGAGTTTCTCCAAAAGGTTGTTGGTAAACCTCTTGGCATTTCTTCATGCTGCATTCCTGTTCTGGTGGAGACCTGTTCGTCTCCTCTACCACCTGACATGGCTCAGTCCCTGTCCCAGTCACTGTTTATAACATAGTGGAACAATGTTACAGCACACCTGACCTCTAAATAAATAACCATTTCCACCAAAATACCATAGTTACTAGACTTCTTTTTTTTTTTTTTTTACTGTAAAGTCATAATAATGTAACATCGAGATCTTGAAACAAGAATTTAGTGCAAGTTTTTATAATATTTGTCATTTTGTGTAACTTTTCTTTTTTGATCACATTTTCTTTGTACGTAATCATTTTAACCCACCTATATTGTTCTAAGATCTGCACCCACTTGTGATGCATGCAAACATACTAAAAAACATTAAATTAAATTATTCTTAATTTTAAGGAAAATGTCTGTTTTTTTATTTTTGTATCAAAGTGTATTATGATGATAAAGTGGTTTTAATTCAATCATTATGGAATAACACAATTTAATTAAAAAAAATAATGTTAGAGAATTTCGGATACTATGGCAAAAAAAACTGACTTTTCCTGTTTTTCTTTTGGCCTTTCATAATGTTACAATACAATACATTATATAGCAGCTTCTGTATTATTCTGGTTATTAACAGGTTTATAAACAGTGTAGGCCTAGCTGTTAGTTTTGTGCAAGGAGAAAATGACATCCATGCATGTAGCACCATTGTCCCCTATCAGGAAACAGTGTGTTTTAAGGGTTAGATCCTAGAAAAAAATGCTACATATTTTTCATTCAAATTTCATTTGAATTCACACACACACAAAATACAGTTGCATAACATACTGTAAGGTCAAAGGCCATAAGTGGTTCTTCAACCTATAGTCAAACACCATGACCACAGATTGACCATTTATTGAAATAGTTATTATTAGTATTATTAATAAAAGTTATAATAATATTAACAATAAAAACTAAAGTGGGCTTATATTTTGTTTGTTTAGATATTGTTGACACAAAGCTTGTTAATATCAAAAACCATGTAGCGTATTTTTTTACCAAATTAACCCAAAGACAATAAAAGAGTTAAGTCACTAAAACAATAGCCTAGGTTCCGAGTTCTAGGCCTACAATAAAGATAGTTATACTTACACTTAATTAACAGTACAAAGACCACAATCAGCAACAGGAAGCAGATGACAAAAAGAACCAGTGAAATGATGCGGTAAACGCGAACCTTCCGGTAAATATCAAGTGATCCATCTGGAGAAAAACATAATACACTTTATCGTTTCATGAACCGTCAAATAACAGAAGTCAAGATATATGTAATAACATCATTTATCACCTGAATCCGGCTGCAGCTTTTTCGGCTCAGACTTCCCGTCTGCGTACTTGCCGAAATTGCACAGTTTTACGTACATGTCTCTTCTAACGCAGCGTCTACACGAGGTTTGCAACTGTTATGCGCACTTGACCGCACCTCGGCTCTTTAAATGATCGAGCTCACACACACACACACACACTACGGGGGGGATTCGACCGCGCGCAGGGGCTTTGAAGACGTTCATCCGTCACTGTAGCAACATACAGTCTGATGACGACGCTCCGTAACACAATCACGGCTCTGTGTCCTCGTGTGCCCTTATGAGACCTTGAAGCTCTCTCCGGACAAAATAAGATACCCGCTGTCCTTCAGAGAGCACGATATGCAGCTGTGTCCCAGATATGGGTTTTACATTGTGAACTATGGTCATACAAAAGACTCTTATCAAATTACAGAGCAATCTATAATTTATGCAGGCTTGCGGCGCCATGGTAACAGATGTTTCTAACGAGAAACCACTTGGGTTGAGTATAATCGGATGCTTATGAAGCAACTGTTTCGTATTAAATTAAGCACTACTCACAATGTTCCCACAGATATTTTTTTGCACAGGTAGCCTACATAAACTGTAACTGTACAATGTAATTTTAAAGAAAAAGAATGCTGTAAAAACGTGTATGGTTAACTGCAATGGCAATTCACATGACACTTTATGTAGTTGTCACACACCTCAACGGCACTACACTTCCCAGCATCCCTCATCTTCCCCACCTGCACACTATAGACCATCACCTGATCACCTATCACCTGCATGTCATCAATCACCATGGACACTATAATGTTCTTCACAGCTGTCTGTCATTGCCTCGGCATCATCTGTGTATTTAGTTCCTGCTTGTGTTCAGTTCAGTGTTTGTGCGTTGCACGCTGTTGGTTGTGTTCTGAGAAACTTGTTACTTTTCAATGATCTCCGTCTTCCTTGGATCTTATCGTGACAGTAGTCCAGTAAACTTTTTTATATTTAAACTAAGCACTACAACTCTCAATATTCCCCCAAATAAGTCCATCAAATAGTCTTTGCAAAGGTACAGGAAATAAATCTTTGAGTTGGTTCTCCCAATTTGCTTGCAAAATTGAGCGAATGCATAGTTTCTTGGGAACTCGAAATATTTTGCACTAGAACGCAAATGCAATGAAATATAGCTACGCTTTCTTCCCATCTCATTATTTTCCATCATGTTTCTTTTAGTGCTCCAGGGAATTCACTGCGAAAGGGGACAACTGATTTATGTTTCCTTTAAGCTTTTTATGTTCTAATCTACTGTCACCTGAATGCCACTTTGATGCATGTAACAATAACATAATACATGATTTGGTTTTGGTAACCACTGCTACTTTTTACTGTAGATTTAAGCAGAATTTTATTTTTTTACAGTGTAGACTATGTATGTACATCTTCTGCATACCCTTTTATCTTGAGATCAAAAATAATATTTGTTGCTGTAACTGACCACTGCATCAGTTGTTCTTTTTCTCCATCTGCTTTTGTTCCTCTTTTTGGCCTTTTTTCACTTGTCTAGTTTTAGACCAAATAGACAGCCATGGACTCTCGATCACACATTTTTGTAACTTTTGTAAGATATCATACAATGAATATGCACATGAATGCCCAAAAAGAATATTCATTTAAAAAATACAGCATTGTTTTGAAAACTTCTGTATTTCATAATTTAAACATATACACAAAACGTTAAAGAAATCAAACTCCTGGCATTTTTTATCATTAAATGAGTGCTTTTATTCACTTTATTAGCAATTAATTGGCCTAAAATGTGCAGTAATAGGAAAATTAGTTTTGATGATTGAATAAAAAGTGTTTTACCTTTCTTGACTGTAGAAGAGCGGTTTGAAGAGGGCAAGCCATACACATGTTCAGATGGGTTAGTGAGAGAGGAGTAAACATTCCCTTCATCTACGTCTTCCTCGGCGATGTCAGTTGGAGACAATGCAGTTAAATAGAAGAACAGTTAGATATGAGAAGAAAACAAGAGAAAAGGCTTTGTGATTTGTATGTATAATGACTGGATCAGAGAAATTTGGTATTGCCCTGCTCACATGAACGCACTGTGAACGCACTGTGAAGGTGGAGATGTGTTCTTAAACTTTAACAGAGCTAATAACAACTTGTCAACTGCTTATATAAAAAAATATTTGAATAATCATTTTACCTTTTGTCTCCTGCTTCTCCTCATCCTTGTTTTCCTTGTTTTCCTTCTCCTCCTCAGCCGTTGCAATCTCCTCCAACTCCACTTCTACTTCTTTCTTGCTCGCCATGGCTTTTTTTTTTCCTGTCTGCCAATTCCCTTGAGTTTCGTTTTCCTGACTAATTTGTCAGAGGTCCCAGTAGGTGCAAGCTCTTTAGCTACTTGTTTAATCTCCTATTGTCTCAACTATTCTGAGGACAAATGACACAATAGTTACAGACAAGCTTCACATTGAAATGTGCTGACCTGATGCAAATTCTCTCACACCAGGATAAATCTGAACATCACACATGATCAGTTGTTTTCCCGCAAGTTCCTCATTACACTCCGCCAAGTTGCCACGATATCCCTCACTTCTCTCTTTTTCGTACTGTCAGAATGAATCAAACCACTAATCATGTCTCATCCTAATGGAAAAGAAATTCAAACATATCAAACACGAGCCGTTGGTGTCTCTTTAAACCTTCTAAGTTTAAGTGTTAAATGTTAAATATGTCTGAACAGGATAAATAGTGGACAATAATGAATGAAATCTGTACTAAAACAAATGCTTTAAAGTTGAAACATTATGCACAGACTCATAGACAAGAAAGAGGCTAAAATATTGTAAAGATTTTTATTATATGCACAAAAGTTATTGATAATACTTTACAAAAAAAAAAAAACCAAGAACAAAAACCTATGTGCATTACATACAAATGATGCGCTCCTGGGAGAGAAAGAGAAATCAATACTTGCTTACTCTACTACTGTGCTTGAAGTTTATCTCTGTTTTGACCTTCCATTTTCTCTCCTTCTCTTTAGTGTCTCTAAATTCTCAAGTCCCAATACTTTACTGCCAAGAATCTGTTTAAAGAAACATATTATAGTTTCCCCCCAAATACTGATAAATGCAAACAGCACCCTTTAGTCCCCATTATGAACAATGCGTAGGTAGGTACAATGTATTGAATGTGGGATAATAGTGGTAAAATAATGTATCATCTTTCTCTCTCTTCTTTCTTCCTCCATCTCAAGCACCGTAAACACTCTCATTACTGTATGTCATGTACAGGAACAGGTCTTCCTCCTGGTGTTCCTAAAAACAGACAGAGGTGGTCAGTTTAGATCAGAAATCATATTTTTAAATTGTTTGGTTAAAATTGTAAAAGTTAAAAAGTGTGTGCATATAGACCACAGTTCAAAAGTTTAGGGTCAATAAGATTTATATTTAAAGAAATGTATACTTTTATTCACCAGTGACACATTAAATGGATCAAAAGTAAGTAATAGTTAAAAAGTGTGTGCATATAGACCACAGTTCAAAAGTTTAGGGTCAATAAGATTTATATTTAAAGAAATGTATACTTTTATTCACCAGTGACACATTAAATGGATCAAAAGTAAGTAATAGTTAAAAAGTGTGTGCATATAGACCACAGTTCAAAAGTTTAGGGTCAATAAGATTTATATTTAAAGAAATGTATACTTTTATTCACCAGTGACACATTAAATGGATCAAAAGTAAGTAATAGTTAAAAAGTGTGTGCATATAGACCATAGTTCAAAAGTTTAGGGTCAATAAGATTTATATTTAAAGAAATGTATACTTTTATTCACCAGTGACACATTAAATGGATCAAAAGTAAGTAATAGTAAAGACTTTTACACAGTTTACACATAAATGCCATTCTTTTTTTCTTTTCTTTTTTAAAAATCAACATTGATAACAAGAAGAACTGTTTCTTGAGCAGCAAGTCAGCATATTAGAATGATTTCTGATGGCATGAGACACTGAAGACTGGAGTAATGATGCTGAAAATGGAAAAAAATATATATATATATATATATTTAAAAATATATTAAGACAGAAAACAGATATTTTTAATTGTAATAATATTTCAGCATATTACTCTTTCACTTTATTTTTGATTAAATAAATGCAGGCTTGGTGAGCATTAGAGACTTCTTCAAAAATCATTCCGATCCTGAAAAAAACAAAAACTTTTAAGTGGTAGTGTATATATATTTGTAACTATATTGCCTTTTTTAGCTTTTTATTTTTTTTTATTCATGACTTTATTTATTAATCATGTACCAATTAAAATGAACATTATATATTCAAGGCCATTATATGATTTTAAAGAAATATATTTCGAATTTTATGAAGGTCAGGATTATGTTCCGTTTAGTTGTTCCAGTCACACGCATTTTATTTAGTTCCTTTTGTTTTCCCAGTGTATTTATATCCCTCAGTTTTCTGTTCTCGTCTGTGCTTAGTGGTTGTGTTTCTCCTGTGTGTTATCTTGATCTCCTGAGTGTTGGTGATGTATTGTTTATTAACAGTTTCCTGCTGCACTACATCCAGCTTCAAACTCATGCTTGCTGCAATGAACACCCTTTGCTAATAAAATTGAGTATCTTACTCTGCACTAGTGAAGAGGGGTGCTTGAGTTACCTCATACACTGCAGACAGCGGGGAGCTGGATGGAGGGAGGGAGTTTTTAACGAAAAAGAAGAGCGCTTCTTCCGGCCTCATAGACACCCGCTGTCTGATCAGGAAGCAGAGCTGGCCGACTGGAAGAGAAAGTTGAGAGAATGTCAGTCAGATTAAAACTTTACAGTTTGTAAACGGTTTCATTTCTTCCTCAAAAGGAAGACTGGAATAGGGAAGTTCAGGGTCAGAAAGAGTCTCAAAAAATTCAAAGGCCTTAATTTACTGCCATATTACGCAATGCTGACGGGCAATCATGAGTTGAGTTGAATTCCCCTGTAAATTTACAGAAATTATGATAATACACTGCCCGGAAAAAAAATAAAATAAAATTAAGTTTGGATTTAAATAGGGAAATGCTTAAGAGTCATTTATTGGATCGTTATTGCAGTGATTATTACGTTTCTAGCATGTTATATGTTTGGCAACAGTTGGAGTGTGTAGCTTTTCATTTTTTAAGCAACCATGTAGGAAGACACCTCTTGATGGAAATAAATGTTGTGATGTTTTTTCCATCAAGAGGTGCATCAATTTTTGGTCAAGATCTTGTATTGACAATGCAAGAGTCGAGCACTCTATAAAGTTTACTCCAGCACATCCCAAAGACTTTCAATGACTTTAAGTTCTGGACTCAGAGGTGTTAATTCATGTGTGAAAATGATTCTTCATGCTTCCTCCCCCAACCATTCTTTCATTTGTCATTGTCATCCTGAAATATGGCCATGATGTGTCTTTCATATGGTTGTTTAAAAAATGAAAATCTACACACACCATCAATTAGGGTTAGAAGAACAGTTGCCAAACATACAGTATAACACGCTAGAAACATAATAATCACTGCAATAATGATCCAGTCATAGACTCTTAAGCATTTGCCTATTTAAATCCAAACGGATACCTCTTTTTTGGCGGGGCAGTGTATAATGTTGAGGGCATGTATGAAATAAGAGCTGTCACCTGTGAGGTCTGAAGGAACAAGGTATTTCTTTTTGTCAAGTTCAGGAGCTCGTGACCTTGCTGCTCTCTCCACAATTATCTAAGGAAACAAACAAACAAATAAATATACAACTCTCCAAAAACCTTCCTTTCAGAGCAATATAATATTAGTTGAAAATTCTGTCATCTCTCATGTCATTCCAAACCTGCAGGACTTTCTTCTGTAAAACATAAAGAAGATATTTTAAGAAATGCTTCAGTATTTTCTTGTCCATACAATGGAAGTAAATGGTCACCAAAACGGTTTGGTTACCAACATTCTTCACAATTTCTTTTGTGCACCAGATGACAGAAATACAAGTTTGGAACAACATGAGGGTGAGTAAATGATCCTTTTTGTGTGAAGTATCCCTTTAAAGCTTTGAACCGTCCTGATAATGTAACTGAAATGGATTATTTTTTGTTATTATGGTTTCCAACCATGAAACTGACTGGAATTTTATCCGGATGTTTGGCGCGGACTCTCTCCCCCTCCGCTTTCCTGATCTCCAGTGGAACACTTCGCTGATACTGGCTAGACATCTGAGGGCCAAACACACATGAACAATAACATCAACATAAAAATATAACTAACAAAACATTTCAGGCTTCCTCATTTGATACATTAATTCATCTGCCTGATTAGTTATTGTCATTCAAACATGGGCAGAAATAAACACACTGTCATATCTGCATATGATCATTAATAAAGTATATTTATTCTATGAATCAGTCATTCATAAACACAAGATGTAACAAATTGTTTATCTTGAAATGCTCTGGTCATTCTTCTGCCACCCCACCATAGGCTCTTCCTCTCCTTTGCCCTCAGTCCAGATGTTGTTCACATATGTTAAAATTCAAACCATGTGTACATTTTCTACAATCCTAACACAATACAACAGCTAGATTTTTTTTAAGTCACCATGAAATAAAAATGGACAATTCTTGCTAATGAAATATTGCTAATAATTAAATTATTTATCCATGCACATTATTTTTTTTAAATTCCGTTCCCATTATAATCTTTAATCGAAATATATCCCCTCCCATTTGCAGACACTTCTCTTTTCTTCACTGATGAAGTTCATTGGCGCGAGGATGGGGCAAACCTGTCACTCACATGACATCACAGAAAAAGCAAACCACAACCATCCAACGATCCAATCAATTCCCAACGGACAAAATCAAGTCCCGCCCTACATTTTTTCTTGTTCGAGAAGCCGTTTTACATGGATATCCATCATAATAGGAAAGAAAAGACTACTGTAACTTCCATTTCATGTTGACTTTAATAAATAAACTGTCCGCACACTAAAATCCTTTAAGCAAATTGAATCACCAAGCTTTCGGTCAAAAGACCATCCTCAGGGCATTGAGGCATTATTTTTTGAGATCTTTAGTCTTGTTTGTCTGGCACCTTGATGATCGTGAGTGCGGTGTAACTCCTTCAAAACATGTTGACTAATAAAAATAAAACATTTTAATGATAACTAACTATAAAAGACTATAATATAGAAAAGTCAAAGTTACACATTGTCTGCATTAGTTCGTCGTCCGTAACTTTACATTATGTTCTGCCATTTCATTGAAGGTTGTGGAAAATGCTTCAGAATATTTTATTACTGTGGAACTAGGCAGACTAGTTTGTTTTGTTTATATTCACTCAACCATCCACTTATGCCCTGCAGAGGAACATTACATAATACAGACATGCACACCCATCAATTACAACAGAAATTAAATACTCGGATATGACATTTTAGCATTCCTATTTACTCTGACGTCTGAATAGCTGAGTGTGCAAAAGAAAATGCCAGAAAATGCATCCAATACTGTAGCAGATGATCATGTATGCCAAAAATGACTCTGACCTGTGGGTGTCTTTTTTCTGTGCTCTAAATAGCTTCATTTTACTGAGCACTGCAGTTAGCCTTGCACTATATTTCTCACAAACATGTATTACAGTAGGTTTACTACATTGTTTTGGACTTGCACCAAGGTAATTACATGTGCCTACTCGTGTAAATACCATGGCATATGCATATTGTAGTTATTCACTACCGTTGTATTATGTAATAATAAGAAGCCAACACGCTTGTTAGTTGTGATTCTTGATGGTGTTGCGAAGAAGACGAGTTGCCACATGGAGTGCTGCAATGCGAAAACATGTCCTCCATAGTACTGCCCGCTCCTGAAACACTCACTATTTAACACTCATAAACAATAATAATCTGCTCCCGTCAGAAAGTGCATGATACTGTGAGATAACTGCGCCCATAACAACTGCTGATGACGTAAGGCCGCGAGCTCACATGATATGATATGACCTGCTATTCCGTACAATCCTTGTTCAGGGAACAAAATGAACTTAATGCGGGTAACCGCGGGGTTGGTGTCTGAAACTTTGATCCAACACAAATCCACGACCGTTTCCACCATGAAACTACATTAACCTTATCCACATTAAACTGGGAGTATTGGTCATTAAACACACAAAACATACCTTGGACGGCTACTGATAGATTCAGGAAGAAGTTAAATGTAGCGCCCGTCTTCCCCGCCTGGACGAAGATCAGATGCCCGTATTATGTTGCTCTCCAAAAATCAATAACTTTATATTATAATTCGCCTTCTATCTTGAAGATGTCGACTGGCCCACTTCTCCCACTAAAACAACAACAAATAATGTACCGCGTCATTCTGTAAAGTAACCAATGAGCATTATATAAATAGACTGACAAAACGTCTAGTCATTTAGAGGAAAGAGAAGGCGGGATTTAAATGTGTTGACAGCGCTTCTATTGGCCAAAGTGAGCTGTCGCTCACGTGTACCCCTAGGTCAGCGGAACCAATCAAAATAAAGCATAATTAGGCCAATGAAGAGAGCTCTAAAGTGTTTCTGTGTTACGTGTCTGACGTGTCCTTTTCTAGGCAAACCCAGCAGCATGTGATTCTGGTAGCAACCCAGGACAGAGACAATGTTTTTCTTAAACAGTTTTAAGAATGGCATTCGTTATTAACTTCTTAATTGTCTTTTTAGCAGATAGATAAATAAATAAATAAATAGATTTACTATTAATAAATAGTTAACTACAACCATCAAACCCGGCGAAAACAAAGAGACAAAAGTAGGCTAGAACACAACTATACAATATACAGATGTATACAACAATACTTGTATCTGACCAATGATTGGGCTTCATTATGCAGTGGCTCTACAGTCAATACAGTCATGACAGACTGACCCAGAAAGTGATGCACACAAAGAACATCCGGGGTGATTCACGAAGGAGCAATAGTGGATATAGTTCTACAATAGTGGATCTCGAACTCAACCTTTTGACTTTAAGGCCCATTCATTGTCCACAACAACATTTAAAGGCCCCACCCCCACCCGAAGCATATTCGTTTTAAAAAACAAAATACTAATATCTTGTTTTTATAGTTGTTTTAGCTTATTTCAGTGCTTGTTTTAATCTTTTTTTGTTTTGGTAAAGTCATCTTGAGGTCCCCTCAGAAGTTTGTTGAAGCCCACTGAGTTGAGAACCACTGTTCCCTCCTCAAGTTAGTATCAAATTTTGAATAAAGTTCTACAATACTTATTGATATCAGTTTGCTTGTTTTGTATATTGTCTGTAATGTTTATAATTTTTCTTTTTTATTGCAATATATCCTGTGAATTGTGAACCTTGTTTCTGAAATGTATACCTTTTTAATGATCTGTATATTGTACTGTATAGAATAAATCTTGGGGCCGCTAAGGTAGCCTCTATGGAATATATATATATATATATATATATATATATATATATATATATATATATATATATATATATATATATATATCGGACTGATCAGAAATTAGTCTCAATTTCAATTTATTATGTATTGTTTTATTATGTTAGAAATACCAATATTTGCCTTCTCTGTGTCATGTGCAGAACATTCTGTCGTCCAATGAGAGACGCTGGCAGAATTTCCGGCGTCACCATCATCATCTCCAGCCATTTTGTTAGAGGTGTTGACATTCAACCATCGAGTTCAACGAAGTAACGTTAGTTGATATGGGCTCCATTATATTCTTTATATCAACTGAAACTTGGTTTGTTTAAGGTCTTCGGTAAAACAATATTAAGCAGCTTTTGTACGCGAATTTCTACAAGACATCCTATATCAAACGTTAGAACTATTACTTTTCTCATATTTGCGTAGAATTTTCGGACGAGCTAACAGTAGCTAATTCGTTAGCTCTGGTCAAATGGCGGCGAAGTCGGCACAGCAAGCCCCTACATCGAATTGGTAAGATTTCTACACATTACAAATCTTTACCATCATTATATATGTCGTTCGCCACATCATTTTGACTGTTAAACAGTTGCTTTTTACAAATGGAAGACATAGTAAACATATACGAGGTAAATTGGTGTGTAATTAAATATGCGTAACGTTAGCTATCCGCCTCGTTCTTTCTAAGTAACGTTAACATTATGTAGCGAATTCTTTTATTTCACAATCACTTACGACGTAGTTATTGGTTGAAAATGTCATTCAAATTTTTAGTTTAAATTATATGTGAAAATTTCGTCCACATTAGAATTTGACTAATTTACGTTTGGCCTGTGTAACGTTATAGACTTTATTCACATCAGCGCCATCTTTGATTTTTAACGGAAATGAAAGCGAGGCTGTGAGGGATAGACGTAAGTTATATCTCTTCGGTGGGTTGTTGTATACTGTTATTTAATCTGTGTGTTTGGATTGTTCTGTTGACGAAACACTGCAAAAATATCTTTCCAAGAAATTTCAGTTGACAAAAAAAACTCCCGACAGTATGAGCTGTGGAAAAGTTTAAGTGATCTAAGAGCTTTATACAGCTTTTTACAGCGGATGCCTTTGAAAACACGGTAAGTCTATCCCTCACAGCCTCGCTTTCATACCTATCATGTCGCTGCTCTGAATAAGGTCTATTAGAGGCCTCATTTCTGGCTAGCCAGTCTAGATTGTAGTCTTACCTGTATGGCTTTTACCAACACACTTTTGTGGCATTAATAATGTAAGCTAGGCGTAGTATGGTTAATAACTGTTAACAAAATGTTCGTGACTGAATTGCAGATTTAAAGTGTACATATATTATAATGTTATGAACTGGTTGCTGTTACAGTCAGTTTTTATTTGTAAGTGATCTCCATGTTTTGCATGGGTCAGAGTCTTGTGTAGATGCCTAAAAATGAACATACATTGTCATTCACAGGCCGTATGGTAGTAATTCAGGTGGAGAGGGCCCAGTCCATGAGAACCCGGAATGGGAAAAAGCCCGACAGGCTCTAGCCTCCATTACTAAAAGTCAGAACTCAACCAAGACTTCACCAACCAATCGCACTACCCAACAGGTTAGTGTTTTATATAGGGATGCAACGATACCGCTTTTCAAAACCGATCCGATCCAAAAATTCTGAGTATCGGCCGATACCAATACCAGCATAGTTTTTTTTTTTTTAAATCAAGTAGAATTTCAATAACTCTGTGTGTTGAACTGATAATCACTCTTTTCAAAAAGATCAATTATTATATATATATAGCCTAGTCTACTATAAAATTGAGACTGTTTAAAATGTATAGCACAGCTGTTTAATGAGGCAGCAACATATGATAGATAGGACAGAACAAGAAAGGCTATTAATAATCTTTCATTGCGCAAAAGTATTATGATATGAAAGACTCCAATACAGTGCTGCACAAAGCGCTTATGCGCATCCCGAGTGCAGAATGATGCGCTTGAAGCAACATGGAGTCACAGCGCGTCAAGTGCGCATTGAAAAATTCAAAGCACAAAGGAAATGCATATTGATGCGTAGTGTTATCAATATGTTATACAGTAGGGCTGGGCGGTATGACGGTATATATCGTTACCGCGGTAGAAAATGTCAACCGCAAGAGATTTTTTTATTCACGGGTTGCCAGACATAACAAAAAGAGCAAAACAAGCCCCCTTAAAAACGCAGTGTATAAGCAGACATGGCAAAAATGTACCGGGTAACACATTTAAACATAACACGTATTACTATCCTACAAAATTAAAAGGAAGTAACTAATTTATTATGAATAGAATAGTTCAATATAAAATATTCAGATATTATAAACTGATTGATGAAGTAAAGCATAACATGAGATTGAAAAATTATTCAGCAACACTTTATTTAAAGTTTAATTGCACCTATGAGTTGTATTTAATATCAATCAGTTGGGGGAAGTTCATATAAAAGTTGATGAGTGTGTTTTGTTTACTATATTTAGCTATCAAAATAGTTTACCAAAGAAATAATTTACCAAATAAGAGAAAAAGAAAACAATGTGAAGTACTTTTCATTTCTAAAGTATTTGGGTTTATTTATTATACAAAGCCCTTTTTGTCGATTTTTCGAGAATAACTACATATATAAATAACTATATCGTGAAATATATCGTTACTGTGAAATAAAATTAGTCATACCGTGAAATAGAATTTGGTCATACCGCCCACCCCTATTATACAGTATCAATATGTTATACAGTATCTATCTATGGAATAGTTTGAGCCTTTTCTTTTAACAGTTTTAAATTTCAGTTACTGTGCGCGTGAAGAGCAATTATAGTGCTCTGACTCTATTCTAGTGTTGTGATCTAACAGACACCCGGTAGAAAATAACATGATTTAGTTACAGCAATAAAGTCCAGCAATATAAAGTTGTTATGCGAAACCATAGACCTTTATCTACAGATAAAGTATAATAACAGTAACATTGAATCATCTTAGAGAGTTTCATCGTGTTGACTGTCGTACCCGAACCCGTACCCGCTGTTTGAATGCTGAATGAATGACTGACAGTCGCAGCGGAGGGAAAAGTTTACGTGATCTTGAATTTAATGACTTAAATATTAATTTATATCTCACATTATACTATATAATGGCTTCAGAACACTTATAAGATAGTGCACGAAAACTTTATGGTGCTTTATAATGTTTTTGTGCCTTTTGTGGGGCTTAACAATAACACAGAATAGTATATAGGCCTACGCACAATATCAGATTTGGATCGGCCTCGTCTGACCGATACCCGATCCGGCAAAAATGGCAGTATCGGAACCGATACGGAGTATCGGATCGGTGCATCCCTAGTTTTATATATATATATATATATATATATATATATATATATATACATACATACATGCATACACACACGAATTTTAGTTGCATAAACGGTGTATGTCCATTTTGTGTTGTGTGGTTAAATGGTTGATTCTGTTCTGTTTTCTATTATTTGTTAGGTTGGACAGTATCAGGCGACAGTTACAGACTCCTCTACAATGCAGCAGCAGCAACAGCAGCAGTACTATCAGCAGTGGTATCAACAGAACCAACAACAGTATGCTGGTTACCCATATCCCTATAACTACTACTACCCCATGCCTCCGGTAAATAAACGCACCCCTTCATATTCTTACAGCATGTACCTGTATACAGTCTATTTGCGCTAAGCACGGGTCAAAGTAGACGTTGTTCGCTGGCAGCCAATGAAGACCATAGGCGGGCATTATGCAAATGTTACCACGTTACGTATGCGGGTCACAGAAGTAAGACTGGAATTCCTGATGAGTCATTTAGGTGGTTCAGAGTCGATTTTCTTTTGGGAGACAATAATTTAATTTATCGTGCACTTTTGACTTTACACCTTTATAGACCGTTTACATTCACAGACAGCTATGTTACACACTGCATGATGACAGGTAATGTTTGAAAAAGCATAATAGAAGCACTTTAACTATAAAGTATAATAAACCTGCCACTTAGCCCAACTTTTAACATTTACAGCTGTTCCTTTTTGTGCAATTTCCAATATTATTATTTTTTCACTCCTCCAGTATGGAGGATCATATCCTCCAGGACAGTATGGTGTTCCAGGGGGCTACCAGACACCTACTACGGCCACTGGACAGGTATAGACTTTCATATATCATTGTGAGCTTCTGCTGCCCAAATGTAGATCAACTAGTTGTGTAAGTTTTAAGTTATTCATTCATTCTCCCTCTCTCTCTCTCTTTCAGACCCCTGCCATGCCTATGGCAGAAGATCAGTCCTCCAGCTATCCCTCCCAGCCCCCTCCTCCTGCAACCCCTCAACCTCCCCCTCAGAGTCCTACGTCCACTGACCAGCCCCCACCCCCTCCACCACCTCCCATACCTCCTCCACCCAATGCCCAGTACCCTCTTCCACCATCCCAGACCCCCTACAGCCCCATTGGTACCCTGCCATACAGCCCTACGGATTCTAACCCCATGATGCGGGGCTACAATCCTGGGCAGATTCGGCCAGGGTACCAGGGTTACCCAGCACCTGCATATCAGCCCCCTCAGCAGCAGGCTCCAGGACAAGGCCCATATGGAGGTGCAGGCATGGTGGATTCTAAGAAGCCTAACATTAGCAATATGAACAAAGGTGGACAGCAGCTGTGGCAGCGCATGAAACGTATGTGTCTCTGTTAGCTTATGTGTGCTAAACATGTCATTTTAAGTATATCCTAATGTTTTTGTTTTTTCTTCTTCAACAGAGGCTCCTGGAACAGGTGCTGTAAAATTTAACATACAAAAGCGCCCGTACGTCATGTCAAGTCAAAACTTCCCTTCAGCTGAGCAGGCCCCTGGATTGGGATCCCTTAATGTGACAAACCAATCTCCTGGGTCTGTTGTGGCAACATCTACAACTTCAGCTGGATGTTCCCAAACTCGGTAAGCACACTGGCTAATATTTAAAATTAAAAGGCTGGTTGGAACATGCTTGTGTCTCAGTTGCAACTGACCGCATTATCTAGATTAAACAGATCATTAGAGCTGTGCTAATTTTAATGCATTTTATCCCCCATATAAGTTTAGTAATATTAATTTAATGTAAGACATCAATGAAAACAACAACTTTTTTTGGGGTGGTTCTTGAAGGCCTCAGGACTGGCCACAGGCCATGAAAGAGTATGTACAGCGTTGCTTCACAGCCTGTGAATCTGAAGAGGATAAGGATCGTACAGAAAAAGTACTGAAAGACCTTCTGCAGTCCAGACTACAGGATGGCTCAGCTTATACCATCGATTGGACCAGAGAACCGCTGCCAGAGTGAGTTGCATTTTGTTCAGTTCAGCATTCCTTGTTCTATAAGTGGCTTGTTCAGATCTCTTTTCAGTGTCTTTTCAAGCTACTTAACTATTGGCACTAAACATATGAAATAAATCCTAGTATAAAAAGATTTCTTCAGTAATTTCAAATCTAGGTATGATCATGTGTTTATTAGGTGCCGGTTTGGTCATTCAAGGTTTACACTTGGACTGGACTGTTTTTAATTTGAATAGACAAACATTTTTATGCAGAGACGTGTTTAACTGATGTATTGAAATGATCACCTGAAATGTATTTTAGAAATTTTATCTTGTATTACTTGAGTCTTGTCTTGTTTTTTTTTTGTTAAATATAACTTTTGTTATTCACATGGTGTATACATTTTTTTTTTTTATAAATTGGCACTAAACTACTGCTTTTTTTTATCAGCCTGAAGCAAAAGCAGTCTCGCTGGGAGGTGGTTACTCAACGCTCTCAGGAGAATGCTATTGGGAGAGGTGGAGCCACCCGTGGCAGGGCGGGAGCCAGGCTGGGTAACTACAGAAATGTATTTTCTCAAAGAAGCCCCTCCTCCAGCTCGTCCCACTCCTCATCGCGATCCCCATCCCCTCACAACCGACACAGGGACAGGAGTAGACATCACCGCAGGTAATGCGCAGGATTGCAAAGTTACTTATCTAATACTTTAAAAAAAAAAAAAGGTGCAGTTTAACTGTGTCGATTAACCGGCAAAAAACCGGAATGAGACAAGGACGAGGATTCATTAACTGCAGTAATATACCATTTTATAAGGCTGCATGATATATTTCAAACCATTTAAAAATCATAATATAGCATAGTGCTATTGTGAAATTAAAAAGTCTGCAATTCAATTAAATAAGTATATGTGCTGCCGGTTTCAGAGTAAAACAACGCTTTATTTACATGCGTGCAGGTTACATAAAGTCTTGATGTGCTTCTTAGCGAAGTGTTGTGCTGTTTTCATTTACATGATTGAGCTGCTCAGCAGCTCTCCATCTCTGCATATGCTGTGAGTTTGGGTTGCTTATAACGTTCATCTGGGAACTCAACGCGTGACATTTCACCAGATTATTAACATAAATCACTTAGAAACCTACACCAACACAGGAGAATACATCAGTATGTTTCTAAATATGTGAATTGTTGTTCATTGTGATTTCAAAATAAAAGTTTAAACTCTCGCTGTAGCATTTCTATCGTAAAGAAGTGGCCAAGTATTAAAGATTAAAGGGATAGTTCACCCAAAAATGAAAATTAGCCCATGATTTACTCACCCTGAAGCCATCCTAGGTGTATATGACATTCTTCTTTCAGACGAATACAATCGGAGTTATATAAAAAAATGTCCTGGCTCTTCCAAGCTCCATAATGGCAGTGAATGGCTGTATGTCTTTGAAAGTCCATCAAAGCGCATCTATTCATTATTAAAGTTCTCCACGTGTTAAGCCCTGAAGTGAAGCGATGCGTTCGTGTAAGAAAAATATCCATGTTTAAAACTTTATGGACTTAAATAACTAGCTTCCGGCAGATGGGCGTACGCATCGATTTACACTTGTGTGTCAAGTTCAAGGGTTACTCTTTTTGCGTAAATCGATGCGTATGGCCGTCTGAATTAAATGTTGTTTTGACAAAATTAAACAAGTAAAATAACAACAACGATCAAGAGGGATGCGTTTCCCAAAACCATCGTAAGCCCAAGTTGATCGTTGGTGGCAATTGTTTTACGATCAACTTAGGCTTACGATGCTTTTGGGAAACGCAGCCTGGCCGTTGGCGCCCTCTGCAAGCATTTGATACGTAATGTAGTTAAGTTGTTTGTTTATATTATGTATATTACATTGTGTTTTTACAGTGTTGTATAATAAAACCATATGATTACTTGCATTTGATTAGGGATGCAACGATACCGCTTTTTCAAAACCGATCCGATACCAAAATTCTGAGTACCGGCCGATACCAATCCGATACCAGTGCAGTTTTTTTTTTAATCAACTAGAATTTCTAGAACTCTGTTTGTTGAACTGATAATCACTCTTTTATGTTTTAAACACAATCTACTTAATACAGACAACTTCATTATAAAGAAAAACAACAAATCAAAAAAATATATATGATCATAATCTATGACAAAAATGCTATTATAAACTAGATTAGTGGATAATTCAGCAGTAAAATTTAGTCTTGAAAAATCACGAGTGCACAATAATTGTATAAAATCTGAAAATTTAGTGGGGAACAAATAAGAGACAATAAGTGTAACACTAAATCTGGTAAAACGTTACACATTGCTCTTTATATTGTTGTAAAATACATTCATGAAAAACAAGATAACAAAAATCAAAAAGATAAATTATTATATATATAGCCTAGGCTACTATAAAATTGTGACATGTTTTAAATGTATAGCACAGCTGTTCATTGCGTCACTGCATTATATGAAAGACTCCAATACAGTGCAGCACAAAGCGCTTATGCGCATCCCGAGTGCAGAATGATGCGCTTGAAGCAACATGAGTCACAGCGCGTCGAGTCCGCATTGAAAAGTTCAAAGTACAAATACATATTGATGCGTAGTGTATTATACAGTATCTATCTATGCAATAGTTTATTGAGGCTTTTCTTTTTTAACAGTTTTACTTTTCAGTTACTGTGCGTGTGAAGAACAATTATAGTGCTCTGACTCTACTCTAGTGTTGTGATCTAACAGACACCCGGTAGAAAGTAACATGATTAAGGTACAGCAATAACGTCCAGCAAGATAAAGTTGTTTTATGCGAAACCATAGACCTTTATCTACAGATCAAATATAATAACAGTAACATTGAATCATCTTAGAGAGAATTTCCTCGTGTTGACTGTCGTAACCGAAAACGACGCGCTGTTTGAATGCTGAATGAATGACTGACAGTTGCAGCGGAGGGAAAAGTTTACGTGATCTTGAATTTAATTACTTAAATATTAATTTATATCTCACATTATACTATATAATGGCTTCAGAACACTTAGATGTTTTTGTGCCTTTTGTGGGGCTTAACAATAACAGAATAGTATACGCCTCGTCTGACCGATACCCGATCCGGCAAAAATGGTAGTATCGGACCCGATACCGAGTATCATTGATACTTTGCATTAATCATCAAAATAATCGACCAATTACTTGATTACCAATATAATCATTAGTGACAGCCCTACTTTAAATCATCACTTGAAGTATGATAGAAATTGGAGATCAGCAGAATTTGAATGGTGACTGTCTTCCTTCTGCAGTGATTCTGGCTCCCAATCAGATAGCAGCATGTCAAGTGATCCTCGCCTCCCATTGTCCCGGCGGCAACAAAAAGGTGGCCGAGGCCGTGGGGCAGAAAGGGAGCGAGGCAGAGGAGGTGTGGGAGAAAGAGGCAGAGGAAGAGGCAAAGCAAACCGAGGGCGGAGGTGAGATATCATTGTTTGTACACCAAAATGGAATGCCATTAACAAGTTTTTAACTTTAGGGAATTACTAGTAGCCTCATTACCTTCTCCTCTGACTTCTATCAGGAATATGGAAGACCTAACGGGTGGAATTGGTAAAAAGCGGAAAGGTGGTAACGCAGGCCTTGACTTTCACGACCCGAATCGTGAAGCAAAGAAGCAGAGCCGTGCAGCACGCTTCCACACTAAATTACGCACTGAGCCCCTGGTGTTAAACATCAATGTTTTTGACCTCCCCAATGGCACCCAGGAGGGGCTGAGTTGGGATGAATGCCCCATAGTCGGCACCTGCCAGGACATCACCAAAATCTACCTGCGCCTCACATGTGCTCCTGACCCTGCAACCGTCAGACCTGTACCTGTGAGTGTTTCTCAAAGTGTTGCTTTTCTTTAGGGATCTGTTTAATGGTTATAGTTCTTTGGTTAACACTGGATTATGTGTCTTATTCATGGGTTGTACTCAAAAGTGGTCTCTAGTTGGTAAATTAAGCAGTTTTATTGAAGATTTGTTTTGAATATTTTCTTGTTTCAGGTGTTGCGAAAGTCCCTGATTGCGGTGAAAACTCATTGGAAAACCAATCAGGATTATGTGTATGCATGTGAACAAATGAAGTCAATACGACAAGATCTCACTGTGAGTTACGCTTACTTGTACTAATTATCGTATTTTCCGCACTATAAGGCGCACTTAAAAGCCTTTAATTTTCCCAAAAAACGACAGTGCGCCTTATAATCCGGAGCGCCTTATATATGGATGGTGAACACACGTTCACCAAGACGGGGAGACAGCGCCGGGCGACTTACGCCACTATCTGCCAATGGATCGTGGATGCCTGGGCTGATATATCAGTCTCAACTGTGATCCGAGCTTTCACGAAGGCAGGAATAATCTCTTTATTCAGCCAGCTCACATACCCGTATTTACTTCCTGTTTTCGGCCGAAGTCCACAGTAGTTGATTGTCGAGTTCGCGCGCGATCAAACCTCCTCCGTGTGTTCAACATCTGATTCGGATGAACTATCCATTTGAGCTGATATTCTCAGAACACCACACAGCACCGTCATCGGCTGACAGCTGACAGTCTGAGTCTCCACTGTTGCTTAGTTACCAATGATCGCGCGCGCACTTGACAATCGCCTACTGTGGACTTCGACCGAAAACAGGAAGAAAATACGGGTATGTGAGCTGGCTGAATAAACATCATTTTTATTCATATCTTTCACATTTAACGTTACTGGAGTCAGATTCACCGTGTTCACTCACATGGCTGTGCGCTTGTAATGACACATTAAGGTTGTTAAGAGGCTAAAAGCAGGTTTAAAACTTTTCCCGTTTAAGTCAACAGGCTGCAAATTTTAAAAGGAGGATAACACGGTGTAGGCAACACCGGTTTTTGTCGTTGTTATCTGTACTGACAGCACTCCAAATGTACAAAAAATTAGCTCAATGTTAAAATTGACCGGAGTTTTCCTTTAACGTTTGAACAACGTTACCATGGGAGTGAACGGAGTTGTCAGAAAGCTTAATAAAGTTTGACTTTATCTGACTTTTTTGTTGACATTTGTTGACATCTAGTGGACGCATAACGCAAACCCAGTCAAACGTTTGACTGCAGTATCTTATGCGCCTTATAATCCGGTGCGCCCTATATATGAAAAATGTTCTAAAATAGGTCATTCATTGAAGGTGGGCCTTATAATCCGGTGCGCCGTATAGTGCGGAAAATACGGTACCTGCCGTACCATTTTCTCATGTAGTGTCTTACCTTGAAATCTTGTGTCATTCAGGTTCAAGGTGTGCGTACAGACTTCACCGTGGAGGTATATGAGACTCATGCTCGCATCGCTCTGGAAAAGGTATGTGATGTAAAGTCAGCTCTGATTAAAAGGCACTTTTATTCTTTTTGGACTAAACGCACATTTCGACTGTTATCAGGGTGACCATGAGGAGTTCAACCAGTGCCAGACCCAGCTGAAGGCGCTGTATAAAGACTGCCCATCGGACAACATTGGAGAATTCACTTCCTATAGAATTATCTACTTCATCTTTACTAAGAACTCTGGAGGTATAAATTGCTTTTTCTGTTTAATCTCTAGTTTAAAGGGCATATTGCAGGTTAGAGGACCCAACGAGTCAATGTATAGAAAAATAATGTAGGAACTAGATTTTCTTTAAAATATACGTATAAATACGCTAAAGAAGCTTCTGGAGTCGTTTTTGTGAGAAAATTTTACTTCCGCATCTTAAAATGGGCGTGGCGGGCGTTGTCGATTCAAACAACAGGAAAACAATGGATCGCAACCAGTGGAGAACAGGGCAGGTGTCTTGGTGAGAGAGACCAGTGTTAGCTTATAGATATATACACATTCGCTAACGATATACACTGTGCTCACAATATTGTACATATTATTACCATCGTATATCAGGCCAGCAGACATGAGTTTGTTTAAGGGTATATACTATTAAATGTATAAACTATACTTGAGTATATTTGTATTGTACTAAAAACATAATCAAGTACATTTTTAATACATATTTTTCACCTGGGTTATAACTAGTGATGAGCTGTTATCGGCTGCGTTAACGTGAGACTCTTATCGGGCGATAAAAAAAATATCGCCGTTAATCTATTCTCAAAGTTGGGTTGGGAGCTGGGTCTATACTACGCAAGCTATGATGACTTTCACCTTGATATTTTAGCGCAGATGTATACCTAGCCGAATTGCACTGTAGGGGGCATTTAATACCAATATATTGAAACGTCTGTTTATCCAAATTCCCTTAATAAAGGAGTCCAGACATTAAAAAAATATCAGTCTATTGGATGAGAGCAGTTGACCAATGTAAGCTGTCCGGCCGGACAGCCTACATTGGTCAACTTCTCTGCGGCTGTACAGCCAATAGAGTGAATGGATTTTTTTCATTCTTTTTTCTATTCCTATTGTTAGGATTGTATCGATCGGTCGATTAATCGAGTAATCGGATAATTTTTTTGTGTGTGTTTTTAAACAACCAAAACAAATAATGCATAACGAAAATGATGTGGCTGTAAAATGATCAAGCATTTGGCTTTTATTTCTCAAAAAACAAACAAACAAAAAAACTGGTATTTATTTCAACTCCAACATTTGGCTCCAAAACTAAGCCTATTTATTGCAATTTTTACCCATTTAGTATAAGTGCCAACAATGTTCTATGCTCAATTACTTTGGTAGCCGATTAAAATGTCTTCCCCAAAAGTACGAGTGGATTTGGAGAAGCAGGCCGGGGAATTTCATTTTTTGTTGTTGTCTGTAACTATTTGGAAGTCGTGACATACAAACAAGGTCTCGCACAGACTGCAATACAATATTTGTTCCTCCATCACGTCGCGGTGTATACAGTGAAGGCATGCTGAAATTATTGTTGCGTGGCTACATAAAAGTTTAAGCATATGTGATGCATTGCCGCAATTGATATGACTGGCGCGTGAGAGAGACGAGGGTGTATGCGTGTGTGTGTATGCGTGTGTGTGAGTGAAGGGGTTCACACACCGAACGCAAATTTATTTATTTACGCGAGTAGATTACATACAAAGTCAATGCAAAGACGCGAATAGACGCATCATTCGCGCCGGGCGTCGCGAACGTCTTCCACACACGTTGAAAATTTTTAACTCGAGCGAATGTTTAAGTGTCTAACTAGACGCGATAGACGCGTATTTGACGCTCTATTCGCGTTCGGTGTGAACACACCATTAGGTTACCTTGTTTCAGCGACGCTTGGTGAAACAGCATGTAATGGATGTTTTCGGTTCAGAATGCTGATTCATTGCGGTCGTACTGTTGTGGTATGCCAGGTATACTTTGCAGTAGACACATTGCACCTTGTTCTCTTCCTTTTTAAGTATGTAATGATCCCAAACTTTAGACATTCTCTGCCGTTTATGGACATCTTTACTCTCCGCCATCGCGCCAAATAAATTCAAAATGTATCACGCGCTATAGTATAGATCCGCGTATAGTGCGCGTCATAGGAATTTAACGAGGCTTCGAGGCAGAGTTTTTGCCTCGAGGAATTTTTGTAATCGAGTAACTCGAGTAGCTCGAGGAATCGTTTCAGCCCTACAGACAAAGATATATTATAATAAATAGATAATCACGACACGGAGGCGCCGGCGCGTGAACAGGAGCTCGTCTTGTGAGTCATAAATCAACCAAAACACAGCGTATAAGGTAGGCCTACTTGCCTCAGGAGTACAGTGGGTGCCATGAGGTGCGAATGTATAATGTGGAGAATAGTTACGAAAATGGAGAGAAAATATAAATCCGGCGCATTAAAAAGAAAAGAACGAGATAGTCTTTGTGTTTTATTTAACATAAGCTACTTGGCTCAAGTGACACATTATTACATATGCATTCATCAGATGTTTTACTTTTTTTTTTTTTTACGGTTTTAATTTTAAAATGACATGGTAGCAGAGGGCCCCATGATGAAGCTCCGCCCCCACTGTACTGAGAGTCTAGCTCCGCCCCTGCCCATCTTACAAACTACCTGCGAAGTTATTTATTTGGGTAGCACACATATTCTGAATGCCTTCGGCCGAATTCAAATGAGCCATTTTAATCTAGATTAATCTATATTAATTCCAAGATTACAGTGAGGTTAATCTAGATTAAAAAAATGATTCTATGCCCACCACTAGTTATAACATAAACAGAAAATTAAAGATTTGAATATTTAAACAATCTGAGTAATTTTGTTTTTCAATTACAAGTTGCCTCTAGGGCATGACTACCTATATCACACTATTTGATACCATTTGTACAGTATACGACGATCAATATTCTTGCTTCGGCATCCCATGTTGAACTCCATCATATCGCCGGGATGATAATACTCCGATCTGAAGTGAACGCTACACACGACTGCGTTTCTCGAAGCCGATGCGTAAGAGAAATCCCGTCGCTTCACCTGCACAAACCGCACCCAGGCACGAAAGATATATAGCACCGTCCCTTTTCTTATGGAAACCTGTGGACTCTGTATCCTGACAGGCCGGAGTTTTTGCAACCTCCACAAACAATAATTTACCATGACGATGATAAATTGAAATACAAAAACTACCGAAAACACACTGACTGACGACCGCCCTTACTGAATACCAGCCTCCTCTGCACTGAGCTGAGGCTCCCTGTCGTGATGTAAAATGACGCAATGTTGGGGAAAAAAAGCCGTTTTTACGAGCAGTCAAAGAAACGCTCACTTTATCTACTAAATTAGTGCCCTTATGTCGTTTTAAAACATTTTAAATCCTGCATTAACTTTTCATATGGTATTTTCATACAAGGTTATATATTAATTTAGATTTTTATTTTACCTGCAATATGCTCTTTAAGGTTTTAATCTCACTATTTTGCACTCCAATTTTTATTGCCCTTGCTACGTTTATCATAGACTTGACCACCGAGCTTGTGTACCTGACCCCTGAGCTCTGTGCTGATCCATGTGTAGCTCATGCTCTTGAGCTCCGTACTGCCTGGGCTCTTGGAAACTTCCACCGGTTCTTCAAACTCTATCGGAAAGCTCCACGTATGGCTGCTTATCTAATAGACAAGTTTGTGGAGCGTGAAAGAAATCTAGCACTAAGGGCCATTTTTAAAACGTGAGTACACATGCCAGGGAGATTGATTTAAAAATGATGCTATTGATGATTTGAAGTCTAAAGTTTTCCGTCTTGTTTTCCCTTCTCTGCTGCAGGTTCAGGCCCTTTGTGCCGGTGGAGTATGTGCAGTCCAGCTTGGCCTTCCCAGATTTAGACTCATGTTTAGCATTTCTAACAGGGCTTGGGGTTACATTCACCCCCTCTGACCCAAGCAAAATAGACTGTAAAGTCAGCTCAACCTGTTTTACAACCTCGTAGTTTGGGGGAAAGGGTTGGGGGTGACCAGAGGATTTACACTTATAGAGCTTATAAAGACTGTAGATAAGGGACCAGATATCTGCATAATAGACACACATTCAGAGTCTAGAGCTGATCATATATACGAGATTTATCTCAGATTTTTTTAAACTCTTGTAGAGTGATGGACATTCTGACAGATGGACAGTTGACATCCATATACAGAGACTTAGGTGCCATTTCAAGACCCAGTATAGCCTATTCCCACAGCCCATTTAGTGAAGTATCAGGCAACCAAATACTTGCAGATTATCCCTTACACCAATAGAAAAATGAAACAGGGGGCAAAGATCTAATGGGGTCAGGTCAACAGGTCATGTCAGGTCCCACATCATAGAGCTCAAAAAGCATTTTCAAGCTAACAGTGTTGTGTTCTCATGTTTCTTTCCCCTCAAGCAAACAGCCACAAAGCTCAAGACCTGATATCATCACAGTTAATGCTGAATATAGCCTAACGTGAGCCAGTTCCCACCAACAGCGTACCAGCTCAAGTCTGTGTGAAGGCAACAGATCCTTCTCCAAGATTTTTGTCATCTTTAATGGACTTTAAAGCCATGTGCAAGTGCAATCCTTCAAGCAAGAAGAGGATGGTTTGTATGCCCTATCTTTCTCTTTGCCTGAGATGTCTTCAGTAAGTCAGTGGTGGAGGCACTCCATTAGATCTCCTTCCTCACTTCATCTCTAGGATCCGAATGCTGATAGCCTATAATATTTGGACTGAGTTATAACAAGATCACCGTCAGAAATGCAGATTAGGCCATATTTTCGTCCCATCACCAGTTCTGCCCCCATTTACCACACAGTTTCCTCTTCCGCACATGGTGTTCAACACTCAAGAAGCTGGGCCTCATTAGTCATAGATACCATCCTAATCGTTCCTCGACACCCAGGAAGCACAGCTCAGTGACTTTCACTTCCACCCCAGCTGTGATCGGAATAGGCCCAACCGTTTTAAAGTCATCCAGGTCCACCTAGGGGATTCATTCACCACTAAGTTTTACCACCAGCCACTGAAGAGCCAAGTCCCCTCAAGCACCACCCAGCATAGAAGGTCTCTACGCCCAACACGCAGTCAGCCTGACCAAGTTCATTCATTCAGAAGGAAAAGCAAGATCAGTTTTCCCTCACACCAAGATGGCGGTTGTATCCTGTCTTCTCTCCACTGGCCACCTCATTCCTGCAAGGGCATCCACTGTCCTGCTGGAGTTTGGCAACACATGGGTTTGTATGGCTCCTTAAGCTTCGGCCACATCTAATGGTAATGGCTGGTAAGAAGGACTTGATGTTTTGAAAAAGCGTGGTGGATCTTCATTCAGCTTGGGTTGAGGTGTTACCACTGTTGAACCACATGCTTGGCTTGATGTCTTTTAACCCTGCTGGCAGGTTGTGAATTTGCATATCTCATTTTGAAACGGGCCTAATACTGAACCCTGTTGCACCCTTTATCTGCAAGATTGGCACCAAAAGATCTGTATGAAAAAAATCAAATATATCTGCTCATTTTACATGGATATTACTGTGATGCAGTTGTAAATCTCAGAGATTCATATGGCATCATGGTCTTAATCTAGCCGATTGAAACATGAATGCGTTATAGTAAAAAAAAAAAAAAAGTTGTACCAATTCAGTTTTACAAAGTTCATCTAATGCTCCTTGATCTCTAATGGACTGCGTTAAAATGGTTTCATTGGAGTCGTAACCCAAACATCACCTTCACTGCAAATGAGTGAGGAGCTTTTTAGCATTTTTGCTGTTGAAGTAATCGGATTTATTAAATGTGATTAACATTCATCCAGCATGGATAAGGCTTGGGTCTGAAATATGTGCTTTAGCTAAATGTGCTCAAGGCCACTATGAGCAGAAAGCATCCCTAACATCTCGTCTGTAAAATATGTACATATGTTTTCATGCAAATAATGTGCAAAGTGAAATTTATTTTTCTCTTATAGTACTTTGGTTTATTATAGTTTATAGTTTATTTTTGTTTGTACAATGGTAAGTGTAATTTTGATTTATACAGTAATTTTGCTGGCAGGTTTTAAAGTTTAAATATAATGGGTGGTAAGCATGTGCACATTGATATGAGGTTTAGTTAAAATAAGTGAAGTTTCCCATTAAAATATAAAATTTCTTGTTCCCCTAGACAAAAATTAAATAACATGTTGTAAAGTAAATCTCTTACAATCTACACTTGTGAAGGAGTCATATACATGACAGTATATTGTCATGAATTGACAATATAATGCCAAATCTTTCCCTTGTTGATAATTATTTAATATTCCCAGGCAGTTAATTCTTTCCTGTATTTATTTCTTTGTCATTTTAACTCTATGCCTTCCTTACTGTTTTGTTCTTCCTCTTTTCCTTATTCAGCTTTTGTTGTGTTCATATCTGTAATAATTGTCACTTGTTAGACACCAAAGTATCTAACAACAAGAGAAATATTTGGTTTAAGCACAAATTTAACACATATGCTGTTTGTCTAGATTTTGTTCTTCCAAAGATATTGATCCTTTAAATTGTAACATGTCCTAACTGATGTGACTGAGGTCAAATTAGTACCGAAGACTACAGTATATTGAAGTTTGGTTAATGTTTTTCTTTTCTTTCTTTAAGTTCATTTTGATTACCTAGGGCATAATTCGGTTTGGATGTTTGTATTTGATTGTACATTGTAAATGAATCATTTGCTACTGGTTGCCACACTGACTTTGCTCTCCTCTCCCTCTCAACCTTCAACCCCTCCCACCCCTTGTTCTCCTCTCTCCTCCTGCACTCCTTTATTACCAAATTCTTTCTCTTCTTGCAGTCATGCACAATCGGAGCAAAGCAAGAGATGAAAAGATGAGGGCAAAACTAATCCAGAGGCACACTGGGAAATGGCCATTGAGACACCCAGACATCAGCCAATTGATTCCTCATTGTGCCTGTTGGTGTCTGATGCATTTGTCATTCTAACGAGAGCTTGCTTTCAATTTGCAATGTTTTTCTTTTCTTTTCTTTTCTTTTTTTATGCCAATATCAAAATTTCTACAAAATGACAAACACCTTGTCAGTCTAAAGATGATGTATGGATTGTATTTCAGGATTGGCTCCATATAGTGTTTGGTAGAATTGCTGCTGTATGTTCAGGTGTGTCTTTTGTCTATTCTTAACATTGCTTTTTCTTTTTTTTTCTATTTCCTAACTATATTTTTAGTTTTTCTTTTATATTTTTCTTTTGCAATTTTTTTGTAGTTCTTTACTGACATTTTGTGTTTTGTTTGTGGACTGAACATGTTTCTGATGTTTAATATAAACCGTAGAATTGCATACTGCACATGCCTGGACATACAGATAGTTATAGACATTTTATACCCTTATGTAAACTTTAGATATCTAAGCAACAGGTTCGAGAGATGCTCAGTTAATGTTCTCAGGTCTTTAAAGTTCACTGCAGTTTCTAATGATAATGGTTACTGACTGCCCATAATGAATATTACTTACGGATTGTCCAAAGCGATGTTAATCTCAATTGATGGCACTTTTTTTTTTTTTTTTTTTTTTTTTTTTTTGAAATGTGTTTTTAGCCCTTGCTGTTGTAGTTGTGTAATATTTTCACAGCAGTATTACTAACGGTCTCATCCCTCTCTTCAGATGTTGCCTGTCCTCTTCTTAAAACATCCCGTTTCTTTAACTTCTTTCCTCTGCATCAGATCTTTTTAGTTCATATTGTGTGTTGTACTTAGATTTGCCTCTGTAAGTGTTCTTACATTTTCAACTTTATCCATTGACCTTTTACCTCGTCTCATCTTTATTTTTTTTCCAGCCATCTGTTATTCTTTCTGCATGTTCTTCTGTCTCCCTCCTCTTCCCTCTGTATTGTGTACTATAATGCAATGTTGCGATTGGTTTATATTTGGTCAGTGCTTGGCAGTAAGTATTTCGACAGGACTGTGCTTGTGTCTGTTTCTTCTTTTACAGCTCCACCTCTCAATGCCCTAATGTGTCTGCCCTGAAAGAAAATACTGCCATTTGTAGATGCTGATCTGTACATTATGTACATAATCTTTTGAGAAAAAAATAAAGAAAAATAAAGAATCTGATGTACAGATTGTGATTCAGTATAGTGGAAACTATTAGAATTGTCTTCTAAATATGAAGTTACAGAGGTTCCCATGTATAGTGTTCTCCTTCCTGCTTTGCTTTTTTATTTTGCTTGAAGTTTGCTGTATGATAGTGATTTATGCAATGCTGGTACACTATATTAAAACAGTTTAGGGTCAGCAAGTTTTTTTTTTTTTTTTTTTACAATGTAATACTTTAATTCTGCAAGGATACATTCAATTGATCAAAAGTGATAGTAAGTACTTCTGCTTTCTTGTGGAAAATTTCTGTTTCAAATAAATGCTGTTCTTTTGAGCTTAAAATAATCTGAAAAAAAGGTACCAAAGTTTCCACAAAAATATTGAGTATCACCTCACAATGGTTTTCTTGAGCAGCAAATTCACATAGAATGATTTCTGGAGGACCATTCCACAGACTGGAGTAATGATGCTGAAGATTGGGCTTTGCTATCACTTGGGTAAATTACATTTTAAACTATATAATACAAAAGTTATTTTAATTTATAATATTTCTGTATAAAAAAAAAATCAGTCTTGGTGAGCATAGACTTAAAAATATATACATTTTAACCCCCCTCCCCCTCCCAAAATTTTACTAACCCCAAACTTTTGAAAGGTATGTGTTGCTACAAAAAGTAAATTATGCAGAATGTTCCAGTAAAATAACTTGAGACAACAGTAAATAGTTGTACACTTCTGAAACATTTATTATAATATTTCCGTCTTGTCCTTTATATCAAATAACCATGGTTATTACATATGAGCAACTTTGCCACAGGTCAGTCGGAGAGAGACTCTTTGAGGGACAGGAAAACATCAGGACAACCACATTAATGGAAAGTAGTTTCACTTGAATTAAAAAGACGCTGAGGTTGATTGACTTCATCCTAGATTTTTGACACCATGTACACAAGAATGTTGGTAAACATTATTCAAGTAAAGGCGTGGGCCCTAAAGCCCCATGATGGTTCTCATTACAGTCCTGTACTTCACTACACAAATAGGAGGTTTAGTAGCACACGTTTCAGTGGAATAAAACCCTCGAGTTTTTAGTTTTTCAAGCCGTCCATTTATAATAACAATACAAAACTGAAACAATTCCAACAAAACCACAATAACACTTTCTAAAGAAGAACAGGATTTGGGATGGTTTCAGCCCTTTATGCTTTTGCATTAATAATCTCGATAAACTCTGGTTTCAAGGAAGCGCCGCCCACCAAGAAGCCATCCACGTCTTTCTGGGAAGCAAGCTCCTTGCAGGTCCCTCCAGTGACAGACCCTGAAACAGTGGACCATAAAAAAAAGGTTAAATTTTCACCAGGACTTCTTTTTATATATAAAGAGCAGCACACATAAAATATATTTATTGCTGAGGATATTTGGATCTGCTGTTGCTTTGAAAACGTCTCTAAATCTTCCAAAAAGTAAAGCAAACCATTAACTAAGAGCCCTAAAATATGCACAGCTTCATCAGTTTATAGTAATAAATTACACTGGTATCATGTTGGAACGCTCTCAGAAAAAAACAAAACAAAAAAGCAAGCTGTCTCTGGGCCTGTACCCTTTCAAAAGGTACACCTTTGTACCTTATTACCCCTAAAGGCTAAATTAGTACCTTAAAGAAACAATACGTGTACATATTAGTACCATTGTGAATATATGTATTATGAATGCATGACTACCCAAATTAGATGTCATTTGCATACCCATAATTGTAAAAAAACTTTCATGCGTAAATTCAACTGATTCGGTCACTACCAGTGAGGTACCCAGCCAAAGTGATGGATGTTGACTCAGCGAATTTTGCTCTTTTAGTATTTGAGAAAAGATTGATGTTTTGAGTGCTTTTAAAAAGTGCATTTTGGTATTTTGACAAACAAGTATACTACAGTAAAGTTGCATTTCGGTTTATTATAGGGTTGTTTGAAGTACTTGATTATGATTGGTCAGTCACAGCATCCAACGGTCAGATGATTAGCTGTTGCCCATCTGGTAACAGAAACTGGTACTAGTTTCACATCTCATTCTCTGAGGACTCTCTCGCCGAAAAAAATCACATCAGAGGACTTTGCAACAATGTTATAGTAATATTAAAACGGTTTAGTGTTTGTCCTGTTGCTAGGCTCATAGTTGTTGATATTTTTAGAGGAAGCTTTAAGATTGATATACTAGTAATAAAATAATTGCTTCAGTCACCTTGGGTGACACTCACTCGCAGTGATGGGGCGCTTCACTGCAGCCTGTCCATAACAGTACAAAGAAAGTGAGCACGTTTCTAGCTTTTTATTGTTCACTGAAACTGTCCCATCAATTTGAACAAGTATCTCACTCATGGTGACTGAAGAACACAAGATTAAGTTCAACATGTGATTCACCATGAGTGAGATACTCGGTCAAATTGATGGGACAGATTCAGTGAAGAATGAAAAGCTAGAAATTTGCTCTTTTAGTATTTGTCCAGTATGTTTTCTATAAAAGAAAGCCCCTTCATACTTGTTAAAAGGAAGATAGATATTTAGAAAGATTGAACTTGACATTTTAATCTTCATGGGTGAGATACTCACTAACACTGATGGGGCAGTGACGCTGCACAGTAACTGGCTAGAAATGTACTTAGTGTTTGTCCAGTAGTTTCCTTTAAAATGAAGCCTCTTTATAGCTGTTGAAATAAAAATACCAAGCTCAAACTTCCTCAATCTTTTAGTGAAAATTGTATATCTCAGCTCTGTGTGTGGTGTTATTATATCTCATTGCTGATGTGTCATCATAAAAACTTGTCCATAAACAGTAAATGTAATTAGTAGGTAACATTGTTGGGGTGTTTAAATTTGCATAATGCCTTTCACAAGTTGAACTTAATCTTGTTTTCTTCAGTCACCATGAGTGAGATGCTCTTTCAAATTGATGGGAGAGAATCAGTGAACTATGATTAGCTAGAAATTTGCTCTTTTAGTATTTGTCCAGTAGGTTTTCTATAAAAGAAAGCCCATTCATGTTGGTTAAAAAGAAGATACTTTAAAATATCATGTTTGAGCTCTCAAAATATTTCAGAGTAAAGTATTATTACAGTTGTATAAAGGGTGTTACATGCTGTCCAGAAATAATAAGCGTACTATATTTTGATTGGTCAGTCGAGGGTTTAGTGGTCAGAAGTTCCTTAATATTTACCTCCATCACCCATCAGAGTATAAAAAACGGCACTAGTTTCACTTCTCTCGTAATACACTGCGGATTCATCCTTTCTTGTTTGAGGTGATTTTCAATACAATTGATTTCACATAAGAGGTGTTTGTGCTGTTACTTGGCTGATAGTTTTTGATACAATATTTTGAGGAAGCTTTAAGATGATATACTAGTAAAAGTACCGGTAACATAATTAGCATAATAATGCCTTGCACAATTTCAACTTGATCTTGTTTGCTTCAGTCACCATGAGTGAGATACTCATTTAAAAGGCACTGTTTACACCTGGTATTAAGATGTGTTGTAGTCGATTGGATTACATGGGTTGACACTAAATACCGGTATACACGGGGTCTACAACGTTTTGAGCTTAGCAATTGTCCAATTTTGACCACTTCCAGAGGTTGTCGAGAACATGTGTGACTGAATGCGTTCGAACAGCCACAAAAGACGCCAACTCTCCGCCTACTGACCTAATGCTTAAACATTATGGGAAGCGTTTTTGTCCAGTAGGGTTTCTTTAAAAGGAAGCCACTTCATAACTGTTGAAAGAAAGAAGTCTTGAACTTTTGCTTAAGTTTGATATTTTAAGGTGAAAAGATAATACAGCACAACATGGTGTTATTTTATCTAATTGCTGATGTGCCATCATAAAAACTCTTGTCCAGAAACCGTAAATGTAATTAGAAGCAGGTAACATTGTTGGGGGGGGGGGGGTATTTGTATAATGCCTTTGAAGAAAACAAGATCAAGTTCAACTTGTGAAAGGCATTATGCAAATTTAAACACGCCCCCAGCAATGTTACCTCCAACTAATTACATATTGTTTCTGGAAAAAAACAACACCACATATAGAGCTGTGATATAGTGCCATTATAAAACACAAAGCTCAAACTTTCACAATCTTTATTATTTCAACAGCTATAGAGGGGCTTTTCCTTTTCCTGAAAACCTACTAGACAAATAATAGAGTACTACTCACTTATTGTGCAGTGATGCTCTCTCTTATCAGTGTAGGTCAATTTCTCACCCATTGTAATTATGTCAAGAACAAACTTTCAAATTATCTTCTTTTAAACAAGTATGAAGAGGCTTTCCTTTATAGAAAACCTACTGGACAAATACTAAAAGAGCAAATTTCTAGCTAATCTTAGTTCACCGAATCTCTCCCATGATTTTGAATGAGTATCTCACTCATGGTGACTCACAAGTTGCACTTAATCGTGTTTTCTTCAGTCACCATGAGTGAGATACTCGTTCAGATTGATGGGAGAGATTCAGTGAACTATAATTGGCTAGAAATTTGCTCATTTAATATTTGTCCAGTAGATCTTCTGTAAAGGGAAGCCCCTTTATACCCATTTAAAGAAAGATACATTGCCATGAAATATTATATCAATGTTACAGAAAGCTTTAAAGTGATATAAAAGTATCAAACAATTGCTTCAGTCATCATGGGTGCCACACTCATTCACACTGATGGGAGAGCGTCACTGTACAGTAACTGGCCAGAAATGTACTCTTTTAGTATTTGTCCAGTAGGTTTAAAGGAAAATAACTTTTATAGCTGTTGAAATAAAGATTGTGCAAGTTTGAGGTTGGTAATATGTAGTGAAATAATATTACAGCTCTATATTACCTCGTTTCCACCAAAAAAGAACTGGTTTGGAGCTGGTTCAAAGTTGGTTCAACTTGCGAACCTTCTCAGAACCGGTTTGTTTTTCCACTGACTAGAGAGTCCAGCGAACGACGTCGTTACGTCACTGTGTACGTCGCCATATGTCTTAGCTTTCCCATTCCCGTCGTGTTGTTGTTCACAGTAACCCGCCCCGAGCCCCAGACGTAACCATGACGTTGGTGCCGCTTTGGAACCAATTTTCCTGGCCGAGAACCGGTTCTTTGGCTGTCGAAACACAAAGAACTGGTTCTCGAGTAGGCACCGGCTCCGAACCGGCTCTTAAAATGCTTTGATGGAAAAGGGGTATATATGTGGTGTTATTTTATCTCATTGCTGATGTGCCATCATAAAAACTCTCGTCCAGAAACAGTAAATGTAATTAGTAGCAGGTAACATTGTTGGGGCGTGTTTAAATTTGCATAATCCCTTTGACACATTGAACTCAATCTTGTTTTCTTTAGTCACCATGAGTGAGATACTTGTTCAAATTGATGGGACAGATTCAGTGAACAATGATGGGTAGAAATTTGCTCTTTAGTATTTGTCTAGTAGGTTTTCTATAAAAGAAAGCTCCTTCATGCTAGTTAAAAAGAAGATATCTTAATATATAAAAGATTTAGAAAGTTTGAACTTGACATTTTAGTCAATATGGCTGAGATACTCACTAACACTGATGGGAGAGCGTCACTGCACAATAACTGGCTAGAAATGTACTCTTTTAGTATTTGCCCAGTAGGTTTCCTTTAAAAATAAAACTTTTTCGAGCCGTTGAAATAAAGATTGTGAAAGTTTGAAGTTGGTATTTTATAGTGAAATTATATATCTCTATATGTGGTGTTATTTTACCTCATCAGTGATGTGTCATCATTAAAACTCTTGTCCAGAAACGGTACATGTAATTAGTAGCAGGTAACAAGATACTCGGATTAATTAAATTTGAAGAAATAGTTTTAGGACTACAACAAACGGCTGGTAGGGACTACACGACATTCCTCCCGGGTTATTGACTTCACCAACTCTAAAATTTACATAAACCCTGCCCCCGGAACACGATTTATAGATGATCAAGACAAAATATGCTAATCAATGACTAGAAGATAACTACACATAAGCTACATAAATTCATTAACTAACCATTCAGAAATGTCATTTCTTCTTGAGTCTCTCCATCTTTGTCGGACTCTGGTTTGAACATAAAAGGCTAAAAGTTTTTGATATTTTCAGTGCATGTCTGTGTGAGGTAAAAGGACATGAGCTCTTGAAGCTCCGCCCTCTATGCCAGGAGTAGCAGCTCATTTGCATTTAAAGGGACAGCCATAAAAACGGTGCGTTTTTGCTCACCCTCAAAAAGTGGCCATTTTAACATGCTATAAAACAATATCTGTGGGGTATTTTGAGCTAAAACTTCATTACACGCTGGGGACATCAGAGACTTATTTTACAGCTTGTGAAAAGGGCATTATACCACCCCTTTAAATTTGCATAATAATGCCTTTGAAGAAAACAAGATCAAGTTCAACATGCCAGTCACCATGAGTGAGATACTTGTTCAAGTTGATGGGAGAGATTCGGTGAACTATGATTAGCTAGAAATTTGCTCTTTTAGTATTTGTCCAGTAGGCTTCCTATAAAAGAAAGCCCCTTATACCTGTTAAAAGAAAGATTGTTTTGAAGTATAACATTATTACTGTTGTAATAGATGTTACGGAGTCATTTATTATTAGGAATGGACGATACTTTTTAAGATACGATCCCTCTAAACTGAACTTTTAAATTTTTACATTTCTTAAATTATTGAATTACTAAGAGTTAAATGGGTAATAATACCCACTTATTATTTTTGAAAGGCATTTTAACATTCAATACACCTTAATTGGAACTTATATTATATTTTTGTTAACACATGGTTAATGGGATAATCGAATGAATTCTATTTTAATGGGAAATATGGACCTTTTTATGTACATAGTGACAATTGTGATTACACTACTGACTGTTGTTACTATACACTTCAGATTTGTCAGTAGCGTGTTTATGTAGTTGTGTGGCATGACTATAATAAATCCCTACATAATGTTTCTATATAAACATACTGAAGTGAATATAAACCAGAATGAACCATAAACCTTCCCAAACAGTAATACACAGCACTAGCATCATGTCAGTATGTGTATGGGTTACATTTGCACAGCACAGTCCACCATGAATTCTCCAGGTCTTTATTTACATTCTTACACATTCCTCGTTTTTTTTAATAAGCAGTGGGTGGGGGAGGTGAAAGCATTAAAAGAGACGCGTCTAAATTTGCACACAGGATGGCTTTTACATGTTTCAAATGCTTTTATAATTATTCAATATAAAATAATGGACTAGTATCAAGTGAAAGATTTGATTTAACCGGTTTAACAAATATTTAATTTAAAAGCAGCACTAAGTAGGAATTCCGTTTTTGTCAAACAGCGACCCCTAGAGTCGCTGTGGAGTACTTGTACTGTCGTGAATAGCACTCACGCAGAGACGGCTCGCGCTCACGGCCGGATCCCCTCCAACCTGTACACCGGTACCTGTTCAGTAGGGCTGTAACGAGTGGAAATAAGGTATGGCCCCTTTAAGAGCTGCGCGCGCCCTGTTTAGCTGTCGGCAGTCTGTATTGTATGTGCGCCTCGAACACCACATGTATACGGCGCCGGGTTATTTCTGTTTGATGCTCATTTTATCAGAATTTTATCAGATCTGTTTTTTGCTGTAAAGCAATTCGTTACCTCGCGAGACCTGATATCACACAATACTTCCTAACACTGAGGCCGGCGGCCCGCCGGCCCAAAGTTGCAAGGGTGGTTTTGCGGCTCACAGGCACCAGGGGGGTGCGAGACGACCACCATTCAACACGAAATCAGTAATATAAATATTACAATGACTCCAAAGCTGTTCGGTTAAGGTAAAAAAGTTACTTAGTTCACCTTTTACCAATCAAATGTTGGTTACAATAAATTTGTATAACTCCTTTTATTGTTGAACTTAATCTTGTTTTCCTCAGTGACCATGAGTGAGATACTCGTTCAAATTGATGGGAGAGATTCAGTGAACAACAATTAGCTAGAAATTTGCTCTTTTAGTATTTGTCCAGTAGGTTTTCTATGAAAGAAAATCCCATCAAACTTGTAAAAAAAAGAAAATGATGTATTAAAAATCTAAGCTTGCCATTTTGTAGTAAAGCGATATTAAAGCTTGATAAATGATGTTTCTTTGTCTAGAAATAGTATGAATAGTTAGTTGTGAATGACATCACTGGGGGTGTTTAAAATTTTCATTAGGTTCATATCAGTCACCATGGGTGAGATACTCACTCAAAGGGATCGGATGAATTCAATTTTAATAGAATTGTTGGTATTTTTCTATGGAAAAAGGAAAAAAATATTTAGAGCACTGACCTCCATAGATGATCCTGACGGAGCTGGCAACAGTCTCTGAGACGTTGGCCTTCATCCACTGCCTGAGCTTGTCATGCACCTCCTGAGCCTGTAAGAACAGTAGCGAGAGACTCGTCACTGAGTTCAATGAAACCAGGGAACATGTTTGAAAAAAACCTCCATGTTCTAATCCATTCCAAACATCTCGTCTGTACCTGTTGGGGTGATGCAGTTTTCCCAGTGCCAATGGCCCAAACAGGCTCATAAGCAAGGACCACTTTGCTCCAATCCTTCACATTATCTAAAAGAGATGATAGTTTTATTTCTAATACAAGGAACGTTTTATAATACATACAACACTAAATCGAAAGATACCTGCAATGAACTTGGTCTGTGCAAAAACCACTTTCTCCGTGATTCCGGCCTCCCTCTCATCCAGCTTCTCACCAATGCAGGCGATCACACTCAAACCGCTCTCAAGAGCATGAGCGACCTTCTGTCCAATCAACTATCAGAAGAAGAAAAAAACAGAAAGTTCATACGATTTAAGTGAAATGGTGACCGATTATCTTTTGTGAGACCATTATATGCTTTCAATTTTAACTTCAATTTTAAATTTGTTTCTTATTTTTTTGTGGTTTGGCATGGTAATCATATTCATTCATCGGTTTTCTGTTCAATTCCATTATTTTCATAAAAATGCTCATTCAGAGACTATGCAGATTTAATTAGCTTTGCTAATTTGTATACCCATAATAGTTGACATTTTAACCACCAAAGTAAAAAAATTAGATCACAAGAATGTTGTAATTTTTCTGTTCAAAATAATGTTATACTACATTAAATCAGCTTCAAACTCAGTGCTACTTTTATTCCATTTCTTACTGTATACATTTTTGTCCAGAGATGGTATGAACAGGAGTTAAAGGGGTCATGAACTGGCTTTTTAAAATTTTTTATATTGTTGTCTGAGGTCAACTTATGACGTTCGCTTGGTTTTTACATTCAAAAACATCAAAATGAATAAGTAATAGGCTATTTTCTACCCTAGTTTTGAGCCTAGCTCAAAAACGCTCGGTTTTTATGGGCGTCTCGCATTGAATACTTGGAAGTAAACGCCCACTGCTGTGAGTGGATAACAGTTTTGCATATTATAATGAGTTTCGTGTAATGCGCGAATCGGTGGGCGGGGCTAAACCGTCCGTGTTGAAGTAGGCGTTGATCTTCTTCTGCGGGGGTGGTGTTTTATCCTCTTTGTCGTCATAAGTCCCCACTTTGAAAAAGAGTCGTTTGCTGAGCCTGGTGTCAATAAAAGCTTTTATTGGACTAACAAGGACGTTTTCAGTTCTGAAACTTAGAGGATATTCTTATAATATGATGACCTCTTAGATGTCAAAAGCTCAAGGAAAATTTGATTTCTCAGTTCATCACCCCTTTAAGGCTGATTTATACTTCTGCGTCGGACCTACGCCAGAGCCTCTACGCTGTAGACTACGCGTTGGTTTTAATTTATACTTCTGCGTCATTGTCCGCGTTGATGCACGCAGAGGGAACGTGAAACCCGAGGGAGCGGTTCTAGCAGACCAATCACATCGCTTGCGTCCGTTGTTACATTAGGCTTGTTTGAGATGCGCCTTGCCTCGCCTGAAATGTATGCGAGAGTAGGCGGCTGCAGTGAGGGGAGGAGTGAAAAAAGCGCAGGCAAGCCGGACAGATCTCGCTTCTCGCAGTGGATCAGACACCTGTGAGATCAAAGGTGGATATCGCGGGATTCACGGGATTCACGCTCGTGCATGGTGTTGCTAATAAAGTGGATGTAATTTAAGTTGTTGCTTTTATATGAAAATATAATGAACAAGACACCCAAAGTACTTATTTAATTCCATTTTAAATAGGCCTACGTGTTTATCAATAATTTTTTCTTTAATACAGACATGTGTTTTTATTAAAAAAATAAAATTACATCACATAGATCGCACTGTCAGAGAGTTTGGGAATATCCACACATAATTTATACACATAAAACATGATGTCAGAGTTTTAAAATCAAACATTTTAAAAGAGAACAATACATCACGGTTGTTTAAACCAATGAGCATTAAGCTGTGCCGTCAGCAAGTCGTTTCCCATCATGCTTTTGATCAGCGCAGTCGGTGGAGAGCAACTGCGCGCGACTGCAGAATCCGACACGTGCGCTTTGCAGTCGCGAGAGTTTTTTGACATACGTCGGCATGACATCAGAGCAAGGCGGACCGCACTCGGACACATTTCTAACCGGCATGCATCTCGCGCTGATCACCGGTGATCGGTTCTGCGCAGATTTTGCTCATCTCAAACAAGCCTATTTTTGGAGAGGTGCACGTCAGGGTACGCGCGCTACACACAGCCTATGACGTAGCTACGGCGGGAGGTCGACGCAGAAGTATAAATTGGGCTTTAGAGGGTGAGAGGATTGTATGGCCTGTTCAAATTTGAATACCCATAATGCCTTTCAATTGTTCAAACGCTGCTAAAACTTATGCAAGAAATAGTCACCACCAGTGAGGTACCCACTCAAATTGAGGGGAGATCTTACAGCAAATATAGTAGTTAGAAATGTCTCTTTTAGTATTTGTCTAGTAGGTTTTCTATAAAAGGAAGCCCCTTCATAACTGGTAAAAGAAATATGTCTGGGAATATTTTAAAAGTGAGCTTGAGGTTTTATAGTGAAGTAGTATTATAGCCCTACTCGTGGTATTACTTTAATTTATTATGTGCTGTAGTAAACATGCTTTTTCAGTTCAAGATGAAGTTGGTGGTTTATATTAGCGTAAAAATGTGTTTCACATGTTTAAAGTGCCCCTATTATGCTTTTTCGAATATTACCTTTCATGCCATAGCTGTTTGTGAATGTAAAAGGTCTGCAATGTTTTAAAGATCAAAGTGCACATCAAATAAAGTTACTCCAGAAAAAGATGTAAGCAATTCCAGTCTTTCGTCCTGTTAAATATCTATGAAACAAAATAACAAATTTGCATAATGCCAGTAAAAGATCTTTATTAGCTTCCGCAAACAATGTCTACTTTGACCCGGAAGGCTTGGAAGAGTTTGGTTCGTGTTGTCGACATGTCAGACATTGTTTTCAGCACTGCAAATCCACTTTGCATGCACTTCCAAAGGATGAGGACTCGTGTTGGAATTGATAAGGAAAAACCGACACCATCGTTCGTATCAATTTGCATCAAGCGCTGAGGAAGCCTATGGAGCTGAAATTCAGATTTGGTAATAGGAGTTTCGTTTCCGACACGTTCCGTAAGCAGTTGACCAATCACAACAGACTCAGACTGGGCGATCTGACCAATCAGAACAGAGTAGGATGACGGTAAGGATGGGTTTAGAGCAGGGGTAGGCAAGTCCGGTTCTAGAGAGCCGCTGTCCAGCAGAGTTTGGCTCCAACACTGAAAAAAACCTCTGCTGCCTGCGATTTTTTTTTTTTTTTTGCAGGGTGGTAGGGGAAGACTCATTAATATTCATTGGGGAACTAATCCCTGATTGGCTCGCCGTGACGCATCTCTAATGAGATGTGATAGAGAAAACAGACATCGTCTCCTTCGTGACAACAGACACTTTCACGAAGGTAAGGCATACCTGTCAACATTTGGTTATCCAAATCCGGAAGATTTGTGCGGAGACCGCTCACGAACTTTGCAAACTTCTGTATCTTTGCGGGGACACCGTCTTGATCTGCCATGTCAATCTGAGTGACGTGTGACAGCGAACCAATTGCGTATTAGTTCCCCAATGAATATTAATGAGTCTTCCCCTACCACCCTACAAAAAAAAAAAAAATTTCGCCTCCTTGCCTATAGCCTTAGTAATCCTGAAGACATTGATTAGCTTGTTCAGGTGTGTTCTCTAGGACCGAACTTGCCTACCCCTGGTTTAGAGAGACTGAATCTTCAAAAGAACTGTTTTCTGACTCTTTGAGAAGAAATAAGGTGATGTGCAATGTATATAATGAGAAAATTAAAGTGTTTTTTGAACTTTGAATGCATGTAAACCTATTGTAGGAGACCTCCAAAACAAAATTAGGAACCTTTAAAATGGCATAATAGGGGCACTTTTACTTCCATTCACCTTGTTTGTTTCAGTCACCATGAGTGAGATACTAATTCAAAGAAATGGGTGGGATTAACTGCTAAAGGAATAGTTGGAAAAATTGCTCTATTAGTTATTGTCAAATAGGTTTTCCCCCAATATTTGTTTAAAAGAAAACAGACTTTTAAATTGTTTATGCTATGCATATATTTTTTGCTTGTTTGTCTAAATAGAAGGTATATATAGCCCTAACCAAGCACTATGTTTTTTTTATAGTATGTTATACATTGATTACACTTATGGCGCTATTCCACTGCTGGTTCGGCTCGGCTCGCTTCGCTTTTCCACTACGTGGTACGACTCGGCTCAGTACGGCTCGGCTCAGTACGGCTCGGTTTGCTTTTCCACTGCAGTTAGTACCGCTTCAAAGTGGGTGGGATTATAGTCTGATCTAGTTTATCCGCTCCTCGGCAACCAACGAGAGTGCAACAAAATGTTGCACTTCATCCACAGACCACGATTCAGCCATTTCTTTTTTGGAAGTTTTCTTTCTTTTTTCTTCAAGCAAGTCAAGCAAGTAGTTTTAAAACAGGTGTTACAGCGGTGGCTGTTACTGGCTATTTAAATCTAGCGGGTTTGATGTCTCGAAAATACAATGACGCTGGTAGTGACGATTCTGTCTGACCAATCAGTGATCTGCAGTGTGTTCACGTCACATTTTAGTATCGGTACGGTACGCTTGGAACCTCAACAGAGGTGGTACCATTTAAAGCGAGCCGTACCGTACCGTACCATGCAGTGGAAAAGCGCCACAAGTGAGCCGTACCGAGCCGAACCGTACCATGCAGTGGAAAAGCGCCACAAGTGAGCCGTACCGAGCCGAACCGTACCATGCAGTGGAAAAGCGCCAAAGCGTGCCGTACCGAACCGTACCGTGGTAAAGCGCCAATAGAATTTGCATTTGCTATGAACAGTACAGCTGCTATAAATCAATCTACACACAAGGGGGCAGTAAAACACATGGTTTGAGTATCATTTCCAGTCTCAACACATTATACTGACATCAAAATTACACCTAATGAAATATATTTTAAAAAAATGCTCAGAAAACACACTACAGCTGCTGATTTACTCTAATAAAAATAGGGTTTTCTATAACGTGTAAGGCACTAAGTTACCTCATCACTCTCTCCAAACACATGGCGTCTCTCAGAGTGTCCAAGAATCACCCATTTTACTCCACAATCCTTAATCATTGCTGGGCTGAAACAATACAATGGATCTTTCAAGGGACAAATAGGAGTAAAAATAGAAGGAAAAAACAGCCATAAAATGTGAATGAATTCAATATATTTTAATTTTCCTGAATTATTTACGGTGTTACTGGACTGTAAACGGGATTATATGTACCTGATCTCTCCGGTGAAGGCTCCCTTTGCAACCTTGTAGCAGTTCTGTGCTGCCACATCAATGTTAGGTTTCAGCTTGGACCTGGCAAAGTCGAGGTAGATGGGTGGGGCACCACACACAACCTCTGTCAAACAAGCAAACGGGTTAAAAAAACAAACAAAACTCGGAATTGTAACTGCAGTGCTTTTTATGTGAAAGACCACCATGGCAAAGCACTGCTTTCATGTCACTAACAAATCGATGTTAGTGTCCTGAACATTTAACCATTCAGATTACTGACAAGACAACTTGGAGTTCTTGATAGTTCATTCTTTTTTTTAGCAAGTAAAAAGGCATTTAGTATAATTGTAAAAATGTCCACCTTTCGGTCATGGAACACGTGTTTTTTTGCTGTAAAAACAATTTTATAAGTAATAAACATAATAAGTTAACATTTATGTTCTTATGGATATTTCAAGATAAACATTTATGGGACAGTCTAGCAACTTAAGTTTACTTTACTCCATACATAATTTTTTTTGTTTTGTTTAGAAAATTCATGCATCATTTATGAAACAACAGTCTTTTGAGGAACATTTATTTGTACATCTCTCAGTCTCATCAATTGCATTGCATTATAGGGCTGTCAAAATTGCTCAAAAATGACGTTCGAATATTCCCTCTAAAAAAACATATATTCGAACTATTCGAATATCTGGTTGCGCATATTGTCAATGACGCGCATTACGTTAATAACAGGACAAATTAATACAAGAGACACAACTACTTGTATAGGTAGTTTATTTAAGTTTAAACATATTTGACAACGTATTAACTTACACAAAACCAAGTAAATCAACTAATGGCCAAGACCGCAGACCTTACTCTCTCTCGCCCTCACGCTCTCTGCGCATAACGGTTTAAATGAACAACAATAAACAAATGTTGAGTGGTGATCAAGAGTTTTGTGCAAGCAATTTAAGGTCGCGACTCTTGTCCTAAATATAGCAGGCTTCATTCGGTGATTGAAACAAATATTATTAACATTAATTGAAGTTTTACAGTATATAGAACCGACATTGAACGCTCCGAGCGAGCTGTGCTGTGGTAAACTGCTGGCTGCTAGCCTGCTACTATGGCTATTTCGAGGGCGTCTGGCTACGCCCCCATTGGCGGGCTCTGACGTGTCTGATGTAATGCTAGCTCATTGGCGCACACGTTGGAGGCGCCCGTGCCATTGGATGTGCAGTTGACGCAGCACAGCCAATGAGTGAGCCAGACACTCAATGTGTCTGTGCAGCTGGAAAATGCGTTTTACATTTTAAGCTTCAGATTTTGCCACTCGCAAAGCAGACAGCCGCGCCTCTGCTACCGCGGTAACCGCGGGCGTGTTTTTCCTCATGATTCGAATATTAATTTTCACCTTCGAATTTCTGTTTTTTAAAACTATTCGAATATATATTCGAATTTAGAATATTCGTTGACAGCCCTATTGCATTATATGTTTTGCACCCCGCAATAAAAACTACAGAGCTTTGATGATAAAACTAAGCATTTAAATATCATCTTTCTAAAACATTATTGGGAGATACACAGACAACTGATATTTATAAGCATTTTATGCATATAGTCTGCATACGGTTATAAAAATCTTGATTCACATTACAAGCTATCAGAATTTCATCTTACTTTGCACCAAATTGCAAATTTTTGCTCAGTTCGGGCCTCTGAATAAACTGATTTTTTTTTTTTCCTCAAGTGTGAGTTACATATTCTCATCATACTATATTAGTGATAAAAGCCTGAGGAATGAAATAAGCTGTTTTATGTCAGTGTTTTTATTATTTTTAAGGCTAGGCTGTATTCCCATTGGACGTGGCATTTATACTGTAAAATTAGCTTGGGTCAGCCTAAATTAAACTCACTGTAAAGGGCAGACATGACTGGCGTCTCGGCCCCCTTGATAAAAGGTCAAAGGAAAAGTTACTCATATGACTGCATACTACACAGGCCACGAAGTAAATCGAAAAAGGCAAAAGCTTTGCGCGTTAAGCGCTTCTCTCGGGTTTCAGACCATGAATGAAACAGGCGACGCACAAGCAACGTGACTTTTGGACTTTACCAATTCAAAGTCCACAGTTGTGTCATTGACACGGCAACTCTGTCTGGAAGATTCTCAAATACAGTCGGACAGTGATGCAGGTTTACGTCACAGTGAACAGCGGAAACACCGCGCGATCAGAAATCACTCAAAACGCGTAACTGTAGCAACTATCGTTCTTTTTCCAGGGTCATATTTTTTTTTTTAGAGAAATAGGGTGAACTAATATAGTACAGTTTTGTTGATAAACCGAGCATCCTAATAATCCTGTCGGTCATTTGATTTTACATGGCCTTGAACATGCACACGGTGGAGGCTACGTGCTGGAAATCACACACCCATTTCCAGCATTAACCCTTGAATCACGACACAAGATGAGCATCATTCATTCATATCGAAACATGACGGGCAGTCCACTCTTTTATAAATCGAATAAAGTTAGTTCTTTATATCGAATTTTAACAGAAACTGGTTTAAATGTTTCTGTCTGGTTGCTGCTAACGGATTAATCCAGATGGTTACAAGCAATAGATTGATTTACACTGTAGAAAACAGAGCTGTTATCTTATTTAAATAACTACAACGAGAAAGAGTCTGTAAATGATGCACTTAAAAGGCGATGGCAGCTGTCAAAAGTCCCGCGTGAATGTCATTTCAGGGTCAATGCAGTGGGTTGCACACCCCGAAAAGGCCTGTGTTTGCAATGGCATGTGATTGTGCCTGGTGAAGAGGAAATTGGATAAAATACGCACCGGCGTCTGGGTTGAGTTTAGCGTTATTCAATGTGTTGGCGAGCTCTTCAATGCTCTTTTTATCGCCGTTCATTTTCCAGTTGCCACCGACGAAAAACTTCCTGCCAGACATGATTGCAAAAAGTGTTACTTTCACCAGAAAAAATTGACGACAGAAACAAACGGGACGACCTCCAAACGAAGAGACAGCGAGGAAACACAGTCCGCAGGGATTTATATAACGCTGGCTGTAAGCTCCGCCCCCCGGCCCTTCCCATTGGCTCAAGACAACACGCCTGCGAATGTGCTTTCTGTGATAATAGGAGAGAGATACGGGTGCATTCACTGTTCTTTTGTGTTCATTACCTACAAATCACAAACCAACTGTGCTTTGAAAATGTTTTATCCGGTTCTTTCACTTATGGCATGTTTATCATCATAGGGAATATAACAGGAGACATAACATACATGTAAATGTGGAGAATAAACCCTTTTCTAATTTTTAAAGTCAAAAGTTCAACAATACCTAAACCAATATTAAAGTTTGAAAAATAAGGAAGCAAAAATGTGTCAATATTTGTAAACATTTTAGTGTTTCATTTAACTTTTAATGTCCATATTTTTTTTATTTTTTTTTCCATACGTAACCACTGAATGTATTTGTAAATGTTTAATATTTGCACTTGCAATCTATTACTTTTGATAGACCTAATTGAAATAGGAGAAAATGGATCTATCGGCCAGTAGAGGCTGGCACTAAAGAGACTGTTCACCCTAAAATGAAAATTCCGTCATTGTTTACTCACCCTCGAGTTGTTCCAAACCTGTATGAATTTCTTTCTTCTGTTGAACACAACTATTTTGAAGAATATGGTACCAGTTGTGGGGCACCATTGTCTTCCATAGTATGGGGGAAAATACTATAGAAGTCAACGGGGTCCATCAACTGTTTGATTACCGACATTCTTCAACATATCTTCTTTAGTGTTCAGCAGAACAAAGAAATGGAAACTGGTTTGATGACAGCATTTTCATTTTTTGGTGAACTATCCCTTTAATGTGTATTTGGAGGTGGGATTAAATTTGCATTCCCACAATGCTTTTCGCTTATGTCGTCTATATCAAAGACGGTTTCTGTTATTTTAAGTTATTTAAAGAAAAACATTGCATGCAGTACACGAACGTTTGTTAATAAAACAATCATTTCAGTTTTAATTAGTCTTCTGATATCTTTATAAATTATTCTACTCCAGTCATGTGGTCACCGTCATCGATATGCCTGTCGAAAGTAAGCAACCAGGTTCATCATACGATGTTGCGTGGAAATTTGCTCTTTTAGTATTTGTCCAGAAGGTTTCCCTTAAAGGGAAGCCCACCATGTAAAGTATGAAAGATAGAGAAAGTGCGAGAATGTTTCGATTTTGACATACCGAGACTATGCTAATGGCGTCAAACGTAGTTTGATTCGCTATGAGGTTATATTGAAGACGTTGTCAAGACTTTTGCAAAGTGTGCATCAAACACGAAATAGGCTATTTAATTAGAAATTATTATTTGTTCATTTCAGTATTATTCTATTCAATTAAATATATATTTATATTTATTACAACGTCGTATGTTAATAAACATCAGTATAAAATGCTCATTTTGAAATTGCTCGTTTTCATTTTTATCCGTAGTCCCATGCACGTCACAACAATGACATTATTAGTAGTGTGTGACAATAAACAGATACAAATTCAATACATAAATGACAGCATAGCCCACACAAACACCATCCTCAAAAGAACAAGTTACTAAGTTCTAAGTTAACTTAAAAGTGATTCCAGATCTGGTTTGTTTTATGCCATTGTTTAAAACAAACCACGTGAATTATTGTACACTTGCGTATAATAGATATATCAATTATCTATTATACAGTTGTTTAAATATATATATATATATATTAAAGTTAGTGCTCTAAAAAGAAAAGATGCCCAGAGTAATAGTGGAAAATAAAAAAATAAAAAACTTTCTTTAGTATCTCTTTATTAACTCTTCAAAAACAAACAGACATTAACATTGTTAAAAAAAAAAACAGGGTAACACTTTATTTTAAAGCAAACCAAACCCTAATCCTACCCTAACCCTATAGTAAGTACATGTTGTTAATTGATATTACTCAGTGCTTATTTGTATAATTACACTGTAACAAGGATGGACACCTTAAAATAAAGTGTAACCAAAAACATTGTTAAGTTGGGCGGGGGATCAATATATTTTGCAAGTAATTTATATTTTATATTTTAAGGCATTCCCTTTTTGAAGCAGCTTGAAGGATGTAAATAAAATGTTCAAAACATTTTTAAATGCTACAAAACTTTGAGCTGGAAACAATCCAAACAGTATGCAGAGCATGATGTGCAACAGGATAAGTGCAGCAAGGCCGTTTGGTTTGACAAACACTAGAGGGCAGTATTGTGAAGCTGCGTTATTTTTTTCAAGACACTTTTTTTTTTTACTGTCAAATTGAACAATAATTCAGTTTCTGCGTATGTCATTCGTTCTATTTGTTCTTTTACTACACAAACCCAGTCTCGCGGACTAATAATGTTTCCATTATTCTAAACGGACTTATGCACTAAATAAACAATCTCATCCTCGTTTCGCGTCATTTAGGTGCTTGGCTATGAACTGAAATGGCATAAATATTGCGCAAGGCGTTTGCGAAAGCCGAGATTGAAGGTTCACTGTGAATGGTGTGAGAGGTGGCGAGAGGAGGAGTAGCAAAACGGAGTTAAGGAGCGCGCGAGACCTCACGAGCGCCACACACTCACGGAAACCCAACCGCAGCTACTTCCGCCCACACTAAAGATGGCGGCTCCCTTCATGGAGAAAATAGCCGAATATTTCGGTTCGCCCGAACCGGCGATTCGATTGATTTTGTCTGTCTTATTAGGTAAGTGAACGGCGCACAAGTGAGATCTTTTAGGCTCTGTGGAGAGCTTGTGATGAGTGTCGTTAGGAGTCATTAGAAACGTGGACAGGTATGTTGTTGTAGTTGTATTTGAAGTCTGCTCAAGTCACACCTCAAGTCTAACCTGTTCCCAGCTGCACTAAAGACACGGAACCAACACCATTTCTCTCCATTCACACCGACTCTAGCCAGAATCAACTGTCGACAAGGGTGACCTACATGTCAGGCGAGATTTCACGGTTAACTCCACACATCTGCTAGGATTACAACTAGTTTAATTCGTTAGACCTCCATCTGACAGCTGTCTTTTCATTTTGCAACTGTATTTGAGTGCTTTGACCTACAGTTAGCTGTAAGGATCCAATGCAAATGAAGCTAGGTTTCATGTTACAGGTTGATAAGAATAGGGTTGTGAGAGCAGATAGCAGGGTTATTTGTACTTTGGCCAGGTGCATTGCAGTGGACTGGACTGCTAAACCACTTCAACCAGATGAATGACATGTGGGCTATCTGACTGAGCTGGGAAAACATTTGCATGATTTCGATGGAATGACTGTTACAGTACTATTGAAGTCTTTCTATAGCGTTTCATGTGTTTGTAATATATATATAGTGTTAATACAGTCCCTCAACAGAGTTTTTACCATATGGATAATCAGAATGAAGCCTGCTAAACATCCAATTTCAACCTGTGCATGATACATATGTTGATGAAACTGTTTTCATTGTAAAGCTGTATTTAACGAGGATGGTGTGAGGAAAAACGTCATGACCAAAAGTTGAAAACATTTTAACTTTTTACTATGGATGCACAATATATTCCAGCTATTTTTACATATAGATCACCTTCAGCTGACACTCACCTAAAGCAGAGTTGTTATTGTTGAACAAAACTATAAATATTATTTAAAACATTTTGATAATTGAAATGAAGTTAAATGAATGAATATTAGAATAATTAGACTTGGCCACTAATACAATACATAAGTGCTATAATTACTAAAACTGAAATAAAAATAAGCTAAATAGAAATAAAAAAACAACAACTAATGATACACATGATCAAAGCAGAAATGAATCAAAACCTGAGAATGTAAATAATATCAATTTTTCATACTGTAGGCCTACATTATAATTAAAATTCAGTTGCAGTATTAAAGCTATAGTGTTTGTTTTTTTGTCATTTGTTTTGGAGACCAATTAGTATAGAATTTTAAGATCGGCCATATTGGTCGGTTATTGGCCATAACATGAAAATATTCATCAGCTTATTTATTTTATGATTATATTATTAATATTTAATATTGGTGCATCCTCAAAACAGATCTTACACATTCCTATCTGTCAAACGCTCTCTCTAATGTGTCGTGCCCTCAAGAGTACAATTTAGCTTGTCAAGTTTGTTATGTGCAATGACACACGTTCATGAAGGAAGCGTTTATCTACAGTTGCCACACATTATATGCCTAATCTGTTTCTCTTTCTTTTCCCCTGTAGGTTATCCCTTTGCACTGGTCTACCGGTGTTTTTTATTTCATCAGTCTGCGACAGTTGTTCATCTCTTCCACACATTCTCCGGCCTGGCACTGGCCACGTTTAATTTTGGTGAGATAGAGAATGAGGCAGTGAAGGAGTGAGGAGCTGAAAGATCTGATAACTAGTGTCTTTACAACTGTAACATGTTTAAGTGAGACCTACTAGCTTTTTTTTAGCAGTTAAACACTACTGGTTATTTTTGCGTGAATGTCAGTCTTATGATCTATGGCAGGGCAGTTACCATCTGTCAGCCCATATTTAGACTGGAGCATTTTTCTGCCCATAGTTCAGTTTCCCTAGTTACCCGTAATCTTGAACTTGCTCTGTTCACACCGATTCGATTGCATCTTATCTAATCACACAAAAAGAGTTGATTCTAGGTGTGCTTGCAACATATGTCAGCAGCATTCTCAATATTGAACCTCATTAAAGGGGGTTTAAGCAATGTTTTCTCACTGAATAGGAGTTTATGCTCACTGAATAAGATTTTTTTTATTAAGTTTTAAAAGTATTATTAATGGAATATCACAGTTCTGTTTCCAACATTTCATTTGCTTATGTGGTTCATTTTTGTCAAAGATAAGGGCTTGCCGCAGATCTTTCTCAGTGTCCTTATTACAAAACAGTTGCTCTAAAAATACTACACTACCGTTTAAAAGTTTGGGGTTGGTACGATTTTTTTTTTATGTTTCTGAAAGAAGTCTCTTCTGTTCACCAAGGTTGCATTATTTGATCTAAAATACAGTAAAAACAGTAATATTGTGAAATATCATACAATTTAAAATGATTGTTTTCTATTTGAATATTTGTTAAAATCTAATGTATAGCTGTGATCGCAAAGCTGAATTTTCAGCATCATTACTCCAGTCTTCAGTGTCACATGATCCTTCAGAAATCATTCTAATACGCTGATTTGCTGCTTAAGAAACATTTCCTTTTATTATCAGTGCTAAAAACAGTTGTGCTGCTTAATATTTCTGTTGAATACAAAGTTCAAAATAAATCTTTTGTAACAAAGTCTTTACTTATACTTTTGATCAATTTAATATGTCCTTGATAAACAAAAGTTTTCATTTCTTTAAAAAAAAAAGACTGATCCCAGATTTTTAAATGGTAGTGTATGTTTCTCATCAGGGCTTGACATTAACACTTGCCAAATGCGGGTGGATTTCAGCAGTGGCATATAACGCAGTCACTCGGGTTGAATTTTTATATATAATATATCAATTTTTCAATTGTAGTCTTTTAAAAAGGCATCTGAAATAATACAAACCCGTTTCCCCTCATTCACTCGTTTCATTTGCTCTGGATGAATATTGTTGGTGTTACAGGGCTTGAATTTCCGTGTGGGTTTGCACGTATTGCACATCATTTTACGTATTCCCGCAGATTTTGTGCTCACAACCAAAGTGCGCACGTATAAAGCTGCCTCTCAGTACTAAATTTAGTTAGTTTTCGCTGCTTATTGCCATTAAACAGTCAAATACACACAAAAAAAGGTCAAAATACCGGTCTTGGCGAGTATTCACATAAACACAGTCCGTTGTGTTTTAAGTGAACGTAAACACGCATGTATAGGCTAACAGTAGAATGGCTCCGTCTCAAATTATGAGAAAATATAAAAAAATATCTATATGGCAGTTTTCCCCATGAAATCTATGTCAAAATTGTGGCCACTGAAAATACTGAGTGGCTGATAACTTTGGAAAACCACTAGTCACTGTGGCTGGTGAGCAAAAAAGTTAATGCCAAGCCCTGTTTCTTATTATCATAAAGTTAATAAACACAGAGCATTAAGGTTTTTATTTTTCATGATAACTTGTTAGTTGTCCAGTGAAAGTGCTTAATTATTTACTTTCGGCCCCTGTCCGATTTCCTCTTGAGGTTGTTCTCTGTAAAGTTATTTACCATTTAGTGTCCTTGAGAATAATGGAGGGAAAATGAAAGGTATCCTGACTAACTGCTCTGCAGTCTGTGGTCAGGATTTCCTGGTGACTGTGGCTTTAAAGAAGATTGTGACAGAGAGACATGAGGTTTTGTTACCATGGCAATAACCCCTGGTGGAGAGAGTGTGGTTAATGAGAATATGAGTGGCAGGTTGAAAAGCAAGCTAATGAAAACAGAGTGTTGTGTTGGGAAATTAACTTGTGCTTGTATTCTGTGTATTTGATTTCTTTTGTGCTGCATTTGGATCTAACAGCAGGTCTGTCTCTCTTTATCATTATCTGTGACATTCTACTTTTGTTTGTCATTGAGTCTGAAATCTGTCTTTCTCTAACTTTTTCCTCTGTTTCTGTTATTTTTTTCAAGGGATAGTTTGCCCAAAAAGCAACATTCTTGTTCTCATTATCATTTACTCACCCTTATGTTGTTTCAAACCCACTTGACTTTTCTCCCGTAGATCACAAAAGAAGAATTTTTGAAGAATATCCCAGCCACTTTTTTTCCGTATAATGAATATGAATGGGAACAGGATCTGACAGGCTCCAAAATGTCAAAGAAATGCACCACAAAAGTATGAATTATCATATAGTCCATACTACTTGTGCACCATATTTCAACCCTTCTAAAGTCATACAAAAATTTAGTTGTTTTTCCCTTCCACCTTTCAATGAAGCTTTACAAATGTACAAAAAAGTCATACAGACTTCAAAAATGGTACATCATACTCCGTTGGTTCTCATGCGCAAGTCTTATTTATGGCATATTTGATTTGGCAGTGAATAAGTTTAAAATTCTGGTCCGTTCCAAAGCTGATGTATTTCTTCAGAAGGCTTAGAATATAGCTCACTTTTATAGGCTTAATATATAGATCACTTTTATGATACTTTTAATGGTGTTTTTGTTATTTTGGAGCTTGACATACCCAGTACTCATTTGTTGTCATGATATGGAAAAGAGAGACCGTCAAAAATATTACTCATTCAATTACGAAAAAATTCTCCTTTTGTGCTCCACAGAAGAAAGAAAATGACACAAGGGTGAGTAAATGATGACACAATTGGCATTTTGGCTGAAGTATCTTCTTTTCTATTAAAAATCTTCATATTGTAGATAAACTGTTATATAGTTTTGTGATGGTCTGGTTCTGCTGGAATGCAATAACTCATCTCTCCATGTCCTTCTCTCAGGGTATCAGGTCGGTCACTCCTTCTTATGTGTAATCATTCAGTTCTTGATGCTGAGGCTGATGGGAAGGACAGTCACATGCGTTCTGAGTAGCTTTATATTTCAGATGGTGAGAAACACACGCACACACATTCACTTTTCTTTATCTCTTTATCAGTTCATGTGCTCTTGACGTGATCTTGTGCATGAACTTCTGTAAGCTTATCACTACCATATTGGATCATGTATTTAATGCTTATTTTAATAGTTGGGAAAGTGCTTAACATTGCTCTGCATTGCATGCTTAACATTGAAGTACCAGACTGATACGTCATGACTTTTCTTACACTTATGAACTTATTTGTCATGGAGGATGGCTGAAGCATGTCATGTTATATTTTATGTCAGGGTCACACAGACCCCAGTTAAAAAAACAGGATTAAATTCACATGATGAGATTTTCTGCCTGGTGTACACACTGCGAGAGATAGACTCCTGCCAGTTTTCTGTTTTTTAAAGTGGTTTCTGGAATGTCTACCAGTCATATTTCTGAAAAATGCTTATCTGTTGTGGTAAAATAGAGCGAAATGCGAAAATCTTTTATTAATGAGACCAGAGGAACTTAAAAGAATGTGAAGGGAAATTAAGTATTTGTAAATTTGTAAAGTTAACACATCTTTAGGATCTCTTTAACCCCAGACATAAAAACAGTAAAGTCAATGTCAACAGAACCTGAGGCTGTACACTGTCTCTTTTTGTGTGGCAGATATATCTGTTGATGGGTTATTACTACACAGCTACAGACGAGTATGATATCAAATGGACCATGCCTCACTGTGTCCTCACACTCAAACTCATCGGTATGACGCCTGCTTTTAATTACCATCTCTTCCTTACCTATTATTTCCCTGACTTTATATATTTACAACTGAATTCTGTTAAACTATTTATCACAAGGCAATTACAAGGTAAATTAACCTATAGTTACAAAATACCATAGTACAGTAATGGTTGAAATGTGTGTGTGTGTGTATATATATATATATATATATATATATATACACACAATTCTTTTTATGTTGTTGTTGATGACTGATAAGTGGAAGATGTTGAAATGATGTTAAATCCTACAAGTGAATTTAGGAATCACATTATTATAATATACAGTATGTAAATGTTTTACTGTGTTATTCAATTATTAGTGTTTTTAAAAAGTGCAAGGTAATGTAAACATAAAAATAGAGGAAATTAACATGCACAATAAATATCCATCATACTGATAGAAAACGGATATGGTATGTGTTGTAAATCCCTACTGTAGATGTACCTAGGTATGTTATTACCATGTCTGCAAAACCAGGGTATTTTTTACTTTAAAAAAAGTGTACTATTGTAATTACCATTGTTATTACTATTTATTTTATACTTTATCACTATTTTGAAAATTTCCACTATATAAAAGACGTATTGTCTGTAAAAATGTTGTTATATGAGATCATGAGCTCATCCAGAGCTAGTGCTCATGTCATGTTAGTACTGATGATGATTCATTTTCTCATTGCAGGTTTAGCGCTTGATTACTATGACGGTGGAAAAGAAGTGAGTTTGACTTTATGAGCTGCTGCTATTATCTTCCACCATTTCTGTCTTCCTTTGCTCAGTTTGTTCACCTTTCATCCTCTTATCATTATCTCACTGCTTTTCCTCTTCCTGCATCACTCTTTGTATTTTTATGCATGATTTGAGCACAAGGAACTGATGAGGAACCACAAAGTATCTTCTTCAGTTGTGTAGCAGACGTTCTGCTAAATGGCCATTATGGATCAGTGTAATGATTCCTGGCAAGGTGAAATGTAGTGAAGTTCCCTAATATGTAATTGTGTAATCTTTTAGCTCTATACTGCAGTGATCTCATCTTTGGCTCATATTAAACGCCTCTGTCTAAATATTAATCGTAGCCGTGGCTTGACACAGTTGGCATCTTCATGTGATTGTGTGAAAGGTTATATCTATTGATCTCTCCCTCTGTGTCAATAACTAGCCACCCTAGAAAGAAAATTCTTACTCCTCTTAAAGCAATGTTTTATTGAGGGTGTAAAGATTACCTTATGACCGAAAATAGACCGTTTACACCTGGTATTAACATCCATCTCAGGTGATTTGATCAGTCAGACAAACAGATCGCTGTTTACACCTGATATCATGCGTCTCCTTTGACCAGCTGTCACATCACTTCACATTACATCAATTATTCTCTCAAATACTGTATGTTTGTCATTTAAATCAAGTCACAAATGTGATGTTTCACCCTCAGAATGTGGTTTAAGTGAAAAAAATTACTAAATGTTTTTGACCCTGTATTAAATACTATCCACTTGAGATGGATCTCGGTACCAGGTGTAAATGGGTACATACACTTTTCTTTGTTCACTGGCATGACTATAGTGCATTCAAAACAAGAGTCTTAATTACACTACTGTTCAAAAGTTTTGGTCGGAAAGAAATGAATTATTTTATATTTAGGCAAGGCAAGGCAAGGCAAGGCAAGGCAAGTTTATTTATATAGCACATTTCATACACAATGGTAATTCAAGGTGCTTTACATAGAAAAATCAAAAGAAATAGGAATAATAATAATTATTCCTATTTCCTATAAAGAAATAGGAATAATTTAGCAAAGATGCATTCAATTGATCAAAAGTAACAGAAATCTTTTGTAACTTTATAAATGTCTTTACTGTTCTTTTGAGCTTTCTATTCATCAAAGAATCCTGAAAATTGCATCACCTTTTCCTAAACAAAGAAGAAGTCTGTTTTCAACATAATAAGAACTGTTTTTTGAGCACCAAATCAACATATTAAAATGATTTCTGAAGGATCATGTGACATTGTGAAGTCTGGAGTAATGATGCTGAAAATTCAAATTTGTCATCACAGTAATACATTACATTTTTAAATATATTACATTAGAAACCCGTTATTTTAAATGGTAATAATACTTAACAATATTACTGTTTATTCTGTATTTTTGATCAAATAAACGCGGTCTTGATTACTATAAGAGACTCTTCAAAAAATCTTACAGACCCAAAACCTTTAAGTGGTAGTGTATATCTGTTATCTTTAAAGATTTCAATAATTTTAGCAATTTATCTTCTGTGGCCAGTTCCTATTTCCCAGTTCCTCTCTTTTAATTCATTTACTCATTTTCTTTTATGTAGCAATCTCAGATAAGCGCAGAACAGAAGAAGTCTGCCCTCAGCTCTACGCCGTCTCTGTTGGAGATCTTCGGTTTCTCATACTTCTATGGAGGCTTTCTGGTAGGGCCTCAGTTCACACTGCGAAACTACCAGATGCTGGTGTCTCGAGAGATGTCCGATGTCCCCGGACAACCACCCAATAGGTAAGTGCGCAAAATTTCACAAGCACAACAATACTAGCTTAGCTAAAGTCTGTCAAACCAATGATTTTACTTTCTATAAACAGCCAAAGTGATTTGCAGGATTCATTTGTCCATTACAAGGACATTGACTTCTTTCACTTGCTCAAGGACAAAGTGATAATGAACAAGTCTTAGTAACTCACTCTTGCGACATGCCTAATCTTTGTGTTTGTTGTAAACCTTTAAGCTATATGCATTCATGTAGACACTGGATGATCTAATGCTATTGGATTGCTGTACAACAGGCCCTAGTTAGAAAATTTGGTCACACTTTAGCTTAGGGTCCAATTCTCACTATTTACTCTCACTTTTATCTCAATAAACTCCTAATTACTGCTTATTAATAGTTAGCAAGGCAGTTGTTGAGTTTAGGTATTGGCTAGGATTAATATGTACATTATAAGTACTAATAAAAAGCCAATATCCTAGTAATATGCATGCTAATAAGCAACTAGTTTATATAGTGAGAATTGGACCCTAAACTAAAGTGTTACTGGAAATTTAATTACAAATAAGACATATTACTGGTAAAAATAAGATATCAATCCATTTTGACAAGAAATCAGTTTTATCACTGTTAAAAATGAACATTCTGTGTTTTGTTGTTTGTATATGAATTGCATTACATCATACCATAAAGAGAAGATAAATGATTACCAATGCATGAAAAGTCAATCAGAATGCAGACAGATTGTGACATGCTTTTCCACACATAATTTTTTTTATTATATCCCTGAGACAAATAATATAGAACAGCAAAACCCTTCACAATAACTTTATACTGAAAAATAGCACAGTACTCCCATTGTCACATGGTGTCTCTACTCGTTTGTATAAAGTTAAGTTTTTCTCAACTTTGTCGAATTGCTGGGCTCACCCATATCATGACTCCAATTGTCGCTTTAGCTGGAAATTGAAAATGAATGATATGCATTTTAGGCAGCACTGCTTTTGACCACAACTTATCTAGTACTGACCCATTATAATGCTTATTATAGTCCTCTGTTAATGAACTATTTAATCGAACAAACATTTCTTCCTCTTGCAGTGTGGTTCCAGCAATGAAGCGATTCGGTTTAGGTCTGATCACCCTATCTATCTTTGCGATGGGCGGGCCGGTCTACCCAGCTAGCTACTACTTAACAGATGAGTTTGGGGTAAGTGGATTGTGACTGAACATACACAGTCACAAAATGAATGTTTAGTATTTAAAGTTCAGTTGTTTTTAGTTCTGTGATCTTTTCAATGTGGCGCTGATGCCACAGAAAGCTCACAGTCTGAATGAGAGCACTCTTTAAGTCTGTCAGGTATAGTCTTGGTGGCTATTTATATATACACTCACCTAAAGGATTATTAGGAACACCTGTTCAATTTCTCATTAATGCAATTATCTAATCAACCAATCACATGGCAGTTGCTTCAATGCATTTAGGGGTGTGGTCCTGGTCAAGACAATTAATTACAATTTGCAAGAGCTCACCAAAATTGGAGAGTTGAAGACTGGATAAATGTTGCCTGGTCTGATGAGTCTCGATTTCTGTTGAGACATTCAGATGGTAGAGTCAGAATTTGGCGTAAACAGAATGAGAACATGGATCCATCATGCCTTGTTACCACTGTGCAGGCTGGTGGTGGTGGTGTAATGGTGTGGGGGATGTTTTCTTGGCACACTTTAGGCCCCTTAGTGCCAATTGGGCATCATTTAAATGCCACGGCCTACCTGAGGATTGTTTCTGACCATGTCCATCCCTTTATGGCCACCATGTACCCATGGGCGTCGGAACCATTGTATATGAGTGGGACAAGACCCACCCACTTTTTAAGACCAATGATATTGGACCCACTCACTTTTACCATCTCTTCAGCGCATATGTCTGTTCGCTTTTCAGAGCGCCGTCAGTCAAATCCATTCCACTTGAGAAAAGCCCTAGTCAATTTAACTCCATTTCTGCTGGATCATTATATGTCAACGAGCCGCAACTGACGAAAATAGCCGCCCGTTGTACCCTTCCAGTCAAATATGCGTTGCATGTAATGACCAATAATAATCAATAATGGCAAATGACCATGGTATCAGCGGGATAATCCACGGATAGCTGTGCATTAAAATGCACCAGCAGGGGTTAAAGTGGGCCGGAACTGAGTTCCGGCACCTCAGATAAATGAATAAATAAATAGATTCATTAATCTCAATGAATCTCGCTGGTCCCGATATGGGCCGACCGACCGACCAACCTCCCTTCCTCCCCGCTGAATGCGAGCGATTGCAAATGCGTGAAATGCACTCAGGGTGATTGAGCGCGGTAAAGTTAGTTTTAGATTCGATATATTTCGCCCGACATTTGTTTTCCCTAGCCACTGTTCTATAGGGTCTTACAAAGAGATCAATAGCAGGATTAGTTTTAACATTATGTAACCATTGTATATCGACATTAAATATTCGTTCAAAATCACCTACGTGCATTAATGCTGCATATTTATACCTGAGAATGCTTTGACGCGTTTGCACAGCGCATGATGAGGGAACGTCTGCCAATTCCACCAACTGCGTTAAACGTAGCCTATAATTTGTATTATTTAAAATTACTTATCAAATTCCAAAGCTTGTAGAAGGTGGCAATACTGACCTGGTAGCCTTGAGTAAATTAACTTGTTTAAGATAATGATTCATAAAACATATAATTATCAGTTAAGCCTATGTTTACTTTCTTCACTGACACAGACGAAAATGAAAAGACTATCAGTCAAAGTTCAGCTTTAGGAGGGGAAGAAATAGGGCAGGATAAGGAGACTGAGAGAAAAAGAAAGATGTAGAGGAGGAGAGAGCAGGTATTGACAAAATAATCTAAGGCCTTCAAAAGTCTTAAATTGCACATATGTAGGTCAGAGAAATAAAAAAATTCTCGGGGGAGCATGCCCCCCCAACCCCCCTAAATACCTCACATTTTAATGCACATGTCTGTGGGTGTGGGTGGGGCTGGGGATGATAATGTGGGCTGGCGTGGCTACAGTGCCAGGGCTCAATTTTTGTCCCAGTGTTAAGCAATTTTAACATAGTATCGTCATCATATCAGTGTAGATGGGCCAAAATAAAACCATTAAAATATCAAGTAAATAAGTGATACTTGGTGCCACAGCAACGCTCTTGACCCAAAAAGTATTGCTATACCACGATACTCAATATGTTGTCCCACGGTGAGTCATTTTTCCCTGTTGCACCTACACAAAATTTGAGTGTTCCCCCACCTGCCAAATCCCACTTTAACCACTGGGCACCAGTATACATGAAATGGCATTTACTCCAGTAACATTTTCTGGGGGAGGACCCACCCACTTTTTTTTTGCTTCCGACGCCCATGCATGTACCCATCCTCTGATGGCTACTTCCAGCAGGATAATGCACCATGTCACAAAGCTCGAATCATTTCAACTTGGTTTCTTGAACATGACAATGAGTTCACTGTACTAAAATGGCCCCCACAGTCACCAGATCTCAACCCAATAGAGCATCTTTGGGATGTGGTGGAACGGGAGCTTCGTGCCCTGGATGTGCATCCCACAAATCTCCATCAACTGCAAGATGCTATCCTATCAATATGGGCCAACATTTCTAAAGAATGCTTTCAGCACCTTGTTGAATCAATGCCACATAGAATTAAGGCAGTTCTGAAGGCGAAAGGGGGTCAAACACAGTATTAGTATGGTGTTCCTAATAATCCTTTAGGTAAGTGTATTTTGGAAATGAAAAACGGTTGCTGCGAGCCAAATAACTGCATTTTGACTGAGGTTAAAATGCAGAGGAGCAAGTTAAAAAGAGTTCACACAAACAGTGAAAAGATTCATTGTTAGGGGTGTTATCATAACCAAGACTCTGTTATATTAATAAAATCAGTTTAGCTTATCAAATTTCAATTAATACATTTTAGCACAAACGAATGGAGGAATCATTCAAGCAGTGAGCTAAAGCTGTAGCTTGCACTGCATGTTACATGCGTATAGAGCGCATGGCTTGTGTATTCTTGCCCTGTAAAAGTAAAGTAGTCTTGATGTAATCAGGTGTGGGAGCGCTTTACAAACAACAATTGCGTTTACTTCAAACATTGCGTGTTAAAGGGATAGTTCACCCAAAAATTTAAATTCTGTCATCCTTTACTCACCCTCAAGTCGTTTCAAACCTGTGTGAGTTTCTTTCTTCTGCTGAACACAAAAGAAGATGTTTTGAAGAATGTCGGTAATCAAACAGTTGATGGGCCATAGAATGGAATAAAAATATTATGGAAATCATTGAGGCCCATCAACTGTTTGGTTACTGACATTCTTCAAAATATCTTCTTTTGTGTTAAGCATAAGAAAGAAATTAATTTACGTTTGGAACAACTTGAGGGTAAGTAAATGATGACAGAATTTTCATTTTTGGGTGAACTATCCCTTTAAAGTACAACATGACAACAAGCACCACAATCATATTGTTACACACTATACTTTCGTTGTGTGCTGTATTTTTGCATATTTTACAAACTATACAATACAATTTTATTGGACAAAGAGTCATATCTGTATTTTCTATAAATATTATCATTATTGTTTGTAACATAGTGAGTTAAACTAACCTAAACCTAAAACAAAACATTGATTGATTTAACATTGCTCAAATACTTAAATAAACTTCTGTTTATTTAATACAAGGTAAATATCTTGCAAACAATATTTTAATAATTTATTTTGGTTTTAGAACAATGAGAATATTATTTAATTTAATTGCATTTTTTTTTTTATTATGTTTTCAAATTTTGAATAATTACATACAATTACTTTATACAGTAATATCACACTATTCTTAAACGGAATAATTGGTCTTTATACAAAAATTAACAAATCTATTTTAACTAACATTAACAAAGATTAATACATACTGTAATGCTCAATGTTAGTTTATGATAGTTAATACATTAATGTTAACAAATGAGACCTTATTAAAGTGTTACCGTTAGTTTGAATGAAAAACAAGTATGAAAAGTCTTTACATCCCTATTCATTTATCATTTGAACCTCTTTCTGCAGAAAGACAGTAATCCTTTGATTGCTGTACGGGAGGCAAAATAAAATGAAAACATACTATTTTTGAAAATGGTTTTATAAGGCTAAATCATGTTTAAAAAGAAAGATTTTTCATAATGCATCAGAAGTGATTCATTTCTTCTTATCTGTGATTCAGGCACATCCGTTCTGGTACAAGTGTGTGTACATCCTAGTGTGGGTGAAAGTAAACCTGTATAAGTACATCAGCTGCTGGCTGATCACGGTGAGTAAACGGCACAAACACAATCCCCATTAAGAGCACACTTGTGGTAATTGAGAGTCATTACATTTCATGCTGTGCACCCTGTCAATGAATCTTTACTCTCTTCTTAGTGAGGTGTTAGCTGTGTAAAAAGTCAATTACATACAAGACGTGGCTTTCTTTTTCTAGCTGAGAATGTGAAACTGAACCTCCGTAAGGGTTCGCCAGACTAGAAGTACAAGCCACACCTGATCAGGTTGAGAGGATGCTAAACAGGTTTTCAGGCTTAAAACTTTCTGTAGATTGTGAGTTGTAGCTGTGCTTGCATTGTTTTAATTGTTTTCTTGATGTTTGGAAAGGATTCATTGACATTCAGTGGGCCAATTGTTATTGTATTTTACTTTTTTTCTTTTTCTTTTTTTTGAGACTTAGGCCACACTTAAAATGTCTGAATGCCTAAATAAAGTCTCAGTTCTGAACAGCATATCTGTTGTTTTATGATTTATAACCAAACAACATCATATATAATTCCACTTAGTTTGATATTTTGTATCAAATCCAAAGACATTCATACAGTTTTTAGATGTAACTTAAAGGGATAGTTCAACCAAAAATGAAAATTAGCCCATGATTTACTCACCCTCAAGTCATCCTAGGTGTATATGACATTCTTCTTTCAGAAGAATACAATCGGAGTTATATAATTTTTTTTTTATATATATATATAAAAGCTGAATAATGGCAATGAATGGCCGTTTCTGTTTTGAACATAAAAGTGTGTCTATCCATCATAAAAGTGCTCCACACGGCTCCGAGGGGTTAATAAATGCCTTCTGAAGCGAAGCGATGCATTTGTTTAAGAAAAATATCCATATTTAAAACTTTATAAAGTAAAATAACTAGCCTCCGGCCAAACGAACATACAGATTCGACTTGACTGTAAAGTGCAACTTATGCGAGTAATGCGACTTACTGCTGATATTAACGCTACGCCATGACGCACTACGCTACTTCCAACGTTACAACTTGCATAAGTTTCGCTTTAGGCGCAAGCAGACTGCGTATGTTCGTTTGGCCGGAAGCTAGAATTTTACTTTGTAACGTGATGAATATTAATATTTTTCTTACACAAACGCTTCGCTTCAGAAGGCCTTTATTAACCCCTCGGAGCCGTGTGGAGCACTTTTATGATGGATAGATGCACTTTAAGGGTCTTAACAGAAACAGCCATTCACTGCCATTATATAGCTTGGAAGAGCCATAATCATCCCTAAATATATATGTATCTATATTCTTAGGAAGGTGTGTGTATACTCTCCGGGCTGGGCTATAATGGGAAGAACGAAAAAGGGGAGCCCCAATGGGATGCCTGTGCCAATGTGAGGGTGTGGCTATTTGAGACCACGCCCCTCTTCACAGGCACCATCAATTCCTTCAACATCAACACAAATGCTTGGGTGGCCAGGTATGTGCTTTTTTAAAATGTATTTGACATTTATTCACATCAGTGACTTTCAAAATTGTATTGTTTTTCTTTTCAATCTATGCGTCAATTCATTTTCTCTCCATTTCTCGTCCACAATACAGGCATGTGTTTAAGAGGTTGAAGTTTTTGGGTAACAAGTTGTTGTCTCAAATGTTCACATTGTTATTCCTGGCTGTCTGGCACGGCTTGCACTCGGGGTACCTCATCTGCTTCTCCGTGGAGTTCATCATTGTCAATGTGGAGAAGCAGGTAACCATGGCAACATTACTATACCAGACATGAGGCGAGAAGTTGTTTCGAATCTAGATGTCTAAAGTCTTTGAGTCACTTACTTTCATGCCAACAGAAGGCAGATCTGAAAGTTTACAGCTTTGAAGATATAGTGTTTCTGAGTTTAGTATCTCACTGAGTATTTATTTGAAATTATTGTCTTAATTATTGGCTCCGATATAAGTCATGGAGCAAAAATAACTGCATTCTAGAATCCTGATATATCAGTTAACAAGTTCAGTTAACTTATCAAATATTAAATCTATTTTGAATGGCTTACATAGGATACATTATACACACACACACACAACACTACTACTGTTCAAGAGTGTTTTATGCTCTTCATGCTCTCCTCTTATGCTCACCAAGGCAGTATTTATTTGATAAACAGTATTTGAGAATCAGTAATATTGTGAAATATTAATACTATTTAATATATTTTAATATGTTTTAAAATGTAATTTATTCCTGTGATGGTAAAGCTGAATTTTCAGCATCATTACTCCAGTCTCCAGTGTCACATGATCTTCAGAAATCATTCTACTCTGCTGCTCAAGAAACATTTATTAGGTGTTCAAGCACGAAGTGCTGAAAACCTATTGTAATTGTAAGGATTTTTATTATTATTATTATTATTATTATTCTTCTGCCGTAAAACGCATCGTGCAGACCAAACCGTAAGGGCTAGAGACTTGAAACTTTGTCAGATGGTAGTACAAAAATCGAGGAGAGCTTATCAAATTATGAGCCCGATTGGCCCATAGGTGGCGCTATAGCAACCAATTGCGCAAAACTGCTCATAACTCCTAGACCGTAAATCGTAGGCTCAAGTGTCTTATATCATTGGAAAGCTGGACTCCTGACTTAAAAAACGTATATCTCCGATTTCATTTCCGTCATGATAGATTTTCCGCCATTTTGAATTTTGTCAAAAAACGACTTTTGCGAACTAGTCCCTGATTTTTTGCCCGATCGGAACCAAACCAGTGCACAAATGTTCTGTGGAGTCTGAATATAAATTATAATCGTAAAAAAGTTGAAATTTCGATTTCCGGTCGCTAGGGAGCGCAAAAAGAACGTTGTGGGAGGAGCCTATTTTACTAAAACGACTATAACTCCAGAAGTAAATTAGGTAGGTTCACCAAACTTGGTACAGTTGTGCATGAGTTCAATCTGAGGTCACAGTAAAAAAATCGCGACGATCGAACACTAGGTGGCGCTATAACATGAAAAAAACATATAAAGGACTGACCGTTAGTCCGATTGACTTGAAAATTGGTATGCAGTGTCTTGGTCCAAGGCCCCATGTATGTCTATGAGGACATTGGCGTATCTCAAAAAACATGGCCGCCATTGACCAATGAAGTTTGAGCCCCTATGAGACGAGGTTAACGGAGGCCAATCGGAACGAAACTCGATGGGCATGTTCGACTCATGGCCTAAGAGGTCTGTAAGAGTTTTGAAAGAAATCGGCCACTAGTTGGCGCTAACGAGTTTCACGGCTCTGTAATCACGTGGTGTTGCACACATCCCCCCAAAATGCATATCATTTTATAGATATCCTCATGGTGAACAACTTTGCCTCTAGAACCATTGCTGTCAATCAAATCGTTCATTAAATATTCACGAATATGTTAAAAACCTACTTTTGCGAACTAGTCCCTGGTTTTTCGCCTGATCAAAACCAGACCAGTCTAGGACAATTCTCTGGACTCTCTAGATCAATAATTATCAAAAAAAAGTTGAACTTTGCCCTTTGGTTCACTGTAACAGGGTCATTTAGAAAAGGGGCGTGTCAAAATACACTCAAAAGCCTATAAATCATAAATGAAAACTCAGAACTTGACAAAAATTGATGAGCATATGTGTCATGCCATGGTGAGGAAGCATGCAAAGTTTCATGGAGACCGGACCATAGGTGGCGCTATAACTGTTAAAAAGCTTTAAAACCATATATTTCCTATGGTAAATTGCCTGTATTGACTGTAAATGGTCTTTTCCATCTATGATCGTAAAATTTTCATATCTTAATGTTTAAAACCAGTGCAGTACAATTATCTGGACTCTCTAGATCAATAATTATCAGAAAAGGTGTAATTTCTTCATTTGAATGGCTGTAATAGTGTAAATTGGATGGCCATAACATTTTGGATGGCTATAACAGCCAATAAGTGGTATTTTACTGCCCCCTGCTGTCATTTCATCATACTACTCCCTAAAATTGTTATATATAATTGAAATTTAGACTTTATTAAATCATTATTTTAACATTTACAATCACATTTTGTCCAAATTCATCTATTGCTCTGTACTCTCTAGAACAATAATTATCAGAAAATGTATAACTTGTAATGTATAACATTTGGATGACTATAATAGGGTCACTTCAATATGTAGCCTTGACCGAAAGCCAATATCTTTTCAATGAATGCTCATAGCTTCTTAAAAAAAGGTCAAGCATGGCTAACAGCCAATAAGTGATATTTTACTGCCCCCTGCTGTCATTTTCATCATACTACTCCCTAATATTGTTATAGTTCATATTTAGACTTTCTAAAATCATTATTTTAACATTTACTATCACATTTTGTAAAAATGCATCTATTGGAGTATTATGGACTGCATTTATTTATTTTATTTATTACTCTTTACAATTGTGTCACAGGAAGGCTGAAAACGAAAGTTTTTATTTATACAACTGTTTATAGTCTGTAATACCACTGTTGTCCAATAGATGGAGCAGCAGTATTATACAAATGCTGAAGGAGTATTGTTCATTCTTAGTTAATGCTAACTAATGTAGTTAACATTAACTAAGAATGAACAATACTCCTTCAGCATTTGTTAATCTTTGTTAATGTTAATTTCAACATTTACAAATACTTTATTTAAATCTTGTTAACATTAGTTAATGCACTGTGAACTAACATGAACTAACAATGAACAGCTGGATTTGTATTAACTAACGTTAACAAAGATGAACAAAAACAGTAACAAATGTATTGCTCATGGTTAGTTAATGTTAATTAATACATTAATGTTTAATAAATTAACCTTATTGTAAAGTGTTACCGACATTTTTAATCTTTTTTTTAATCAGCTTTCAGCATTGGCTAACAAACAAATGCTTAAAGCTATTTTTTTATTAAAAAAATACCAAAGTGGTATTTTACTGCCCCTTGCTGTCATTTCATCATACTACTCCCTAATATTGTTTTATAATTCATATTTAGAATTTCTAAAATCATTATTTCAACATTTACAATCACATTTTGTCCAAATTCATCTATTGGAGTATTATGGACTGCATTTATTTATTTTATTTATTACTATTTACAATTGTGTCACAGGAAGGCTGAAAACGAAAGTATAACGTTGGGCCACGCCCCCCAAGGACAAATTCACTCATAACTCGAAAACAGAAAGTCGCTGCACGCTCAAATTTTGATGGTAAGGTTCTCTCGGGGTTCTTGATCCAAATCTATCGTCGCGGGGCTCGGGAACGCCCCCAATCTTTAGATAATTTTTTCATTATCTCGTTCCCGAGATATAAGTGAAAACCAAATTTCCATTCATTTATTTCAACTGTATATAGTCTGTAATACCACTGTTATCCAATAGATGGAGCAGCAGCATTATACAAATGCTGAAGGAGTATTGTTCATTCTTAGTTAATGTTAACTAATGTAGTTAACATTAACTAAGAATGAACAATACTCCTTCAGCATTTGTTAATCTTTGTTAATGTTAATTTTAACATTTACAAATACTTTATTAAAATCTTGTTAACATTAGTTAATGCACTGTGAACTAACCTGAACCAAAGAGTATAGAAGAACAAGAGGCGAAACTCCGATGCTTTTCTGGTAACAGCCACTAGGTGGCGCGGCCGCCATTTTGGGGTGAAAATTCCAACTGGAGTTACTGGGCAACAGCACAGATAACAGTTTTTTAGGTAGTTTTTCTTGCATTTTTATGCAACTTTACACATTTACTACTATTATTAGTTACCAACTCCACTAGGCCTGAAATATATTTTGTACGTTTTAATCCCCTGGATCGTGCTACAAACATGATGATCTTAACATGATGCATTGGTGTGTCCGTTATCTGTGTTTTTTTGTTTACATAGGCTTGCTTTAACGGTCATTAATATAAAATAGTACTGCAAAAAAAAACAGTTTACTGTAAAGCTATTCTATTGCTGTTATATATTTATTGTCCAACATTTACATTTTAGTACAATTACATTTATTTGCTGAATTCATTTATTTCATTGAACTTATTTTTGTATGTAAGGTTATGTGTACCTCCTGGGAAACGGTCTAACGTTATAACTTTATGAACTTACATCACTTTATTCTTCTTACCTGTCAAACTTAATGTAGAGATTAATATAATTAATTAAATCCTTGAACTTCCCTGTCTCAAGTTATGTGGGGGAAAAGCCTAGTAGCAACTTCTTTTTAACGGATATAACGTTAACTGTTGTGAATTAAAATAATCACCTAATTATTTCAACCTAAAAATGACCTCTGCACTGGACTAAATATATGTATAATATATGACTGCCGAGTCGCTTTCACCCCAAAATGGCGGACGCGTAGGGCTGCTGCTGGGCGCTTGTGTTGCAATGGAACGTTCTATTGGCTTTCACTTCTTGTCAATATACGTTCTTTGCCTGAACTAACAATGAACAGCTGGATTTGTATTAACTAACGTTAACACTAGAAGTGCCAGAATTCCATAACTACTAGAACTGCCACAAGCGGTCATTTTGACCGTTAGATTGCAAACTCTATATCTTTAATGATAAATACCCAATTGAGAGATTAATGCATTTGTTGTATTAGGATATCTTTTAAAAACAAAACAACACCAAACTGTACATTTTAAAAAGTTTAATTATACATTTATAAATAATAATATCAGTAGCCCGTAATTATCGCATAGGGCCTATTCACAACAGAGCTATATTT